TACTGAACAAACAACTTATTCAGGAGTTAATGAAACCAGGTTTGTAAGCATCCAAGACTTTTAAGGAAGGAGTCTCTCAACAGCTCGGGCTTGCTGTTAAGTGAACTGTAATTTAGGCTAGCGAGTACATAAAAAGAGGATTGTAATAAGTGTATGTTATAGGATTGCATGATGTGCGTGCGCTTTGGAAATAATTGGATGAAAAAATTACCGAGGAAAACCAAAATTGACGAGGCCGGGACTCGGGCACTGGTGCCAGGTCTGCTCGTGCACCACTGAAGTGTGAATAGCCTTCTATATAAGAAGGACATTTAGTGCTAGTCCCAGAAGTGTCCATCTTGGAAAGCGTCAGCTTTATAAATTACAAAGCATTAGTATAGTATGATGATATGGGATATGGATAAGCAGCTTTTTTGAAAGAACAGCATTCCCTTTTTTTGTCAATCAAGAAAGATAACAGTTCTTCTGCTATGCATGATAGTAATTGTGTAATGCAAACGAATACCAGACTATGAATAAGTGACATTAAGTTTGTAATTGTAAGTTACTTTGTAATTATCTTGTAGATTTCATGTATCCAGATGGCACAACAGTATTCGGCACTGGTTGGGAAATCAAAGACGCTGGAACGTACTCGGTGCTGATGAAAACCGGATATATTCCTGGCTATTCAGCTGGGTTTGCCTTCGTTCCAGAATTCAAGCTAGGTTAGCTAAGATCTATTTGCCGCTCCTGCTGCAAACAATTTCTTTAATGTCTCCGTCTTCCTGCAAACACTCTTTTTGCTTGCATACAAATTATTTTACTGTTTACAGCCTCTACAAACAATTTAATTTAAAATTTTCCATCCCCCCCTCCCCGGTCAAAAAAATAATAGTCCGCCTCTAAGCATCCCATCCGGGTGGAGGAGGGGAATATTAATACTCATAGATGCTTCATGCACTGAAACCGAGCAGAGGCTGGTGTGAGTGTTTACCTTTACGTAACTGATTACTCTTGTTGGATTAAATAACTGTTCCCGTTATTAAACAACTGTAAACGAAAGGGGTAAATCTGAAACTCGGGTTGAACGAGTCTTCTCAAATATTAGCGGCACTCTGTATTCGACTTATTCGAGCACACGTGTCAAAGCAATATGACGTCCAATCCTCAGGTTTGGATGGAAAGGACCGTTTTGTATAATTGTGCATGGAAATCAAAATGGAGAATGATGATGATAATAATGATGATGATGATGATGATGATGATGATGATGATGATGATGATGATGATGATGATGATGATGATGATGATGATGATGATAAATGACGTTGAGTTGTTGTCAAGATTATTTTCGTAATATTTCTGTAGGTGCCATTGTTCTAGCCAGCGGTCGTGAATTTGCCGGAACCGCAGCTCTTTCGATCGTTGAGACGCTGGCTAAAGTTATGGATGCAGTTTTATTACAAGAACAGCTTCAGGTATTGACGATCTCATCAAATGTTTTCCGTTCTAAAACAGGTCATACTACGTTCACCACATTTCAGACGTTGTAAAATACATCTATATGATCTGAGATCTTTTTGGTGGACAGACGTTAACTTCTTATTGGCTAATGGTTGCCTTGAATACCATCAGCCAATCATAACTAACGCATTTCCACCCAAACGATCCCAGAGATCACTGCACTCAAATCTTGTACCCATTCTCAAGAATTTCAGAAGTGGGAAAGACAAACGTTGTGTGATTCTGTCCTCAAAGACACGCGAAGTTACCGGAAGGCCATGTTTGTAGTTTAAAAATAATAACCTCGCAGTTGTCTGTGCCATAGAATAATGTTATGAAACGTCACAAACGTTTACTTTGCTGAAGTATTTGGTAATTCTTTGTTATGAAGTTACCCATAGTGCTCTGCATTCTTATCGCTTATTCGCCACCTGCACATCTCCCATGATGCACCTTGTTTGCCCTCCAAAATTTTGCTTAAGCATTATTTTCAATTTTTCTTGGGACGGCTGTAAAACCCAGGATAAATGAAAAACGAAGGTTATGCAAAATTTGGGGGGCAAGTAAGGTGCATTATGGGAGATTTGCAAGTGGCGAATGTTCTATCACATTTCATGGCTTCGCCTCCCTTTACGTAACATCTTGGTTTTTTAAATTTCTTATTCTGTGTTATGGGTCCCATCAATCTTCTCGGAACATGTCAAAAAGATGTCGCGATCGTTGCCGTAATACTTTGTACTGCCAGATATGGATGTTCTTACCTTTTTTTCTAAGGAAGCATCATATATAATTTCCTATCTCGTTTTCCTTTCTAGATTGAAATAACTCCAAATAGGAAGCAATACATTGGGGAGTATGCAATCGTGTCACGTTGGATACCAGAAGTGATTGTTAACATAACTGAAGACCGTGGACTTCTTCTTTTTACGCAGACTCCAAGCTCCTTAGGGTTTTCCTATCTAAAGCCCATAAGAGGTCACGAGTTTGAAATCATTTACAGAAGTGGATTGAAATGCAGCGTATATGGAATGGGACAAAATCGCGAAAGAGTCATTTTCGATCCACCCTCTGAATCTGGGCAGAGCCTTAGCTTAAAGTTTGGGCCGTTCATATTCAAGAGAACGTTACCGCATCGCGCGCGAAAAGCGAGCGCTTTAAATACAAAATTATCTCCGTCTGGTCTACTTTGATCACATAAGACTGCGTCGTATGAGTGTGATCGCATGCAACATGCAATCGCATGCAACATGCGTTCTGCGTACATGCACAAGCTGTAGTCTAAAGATTTCCTATCATCGCTCAAGATCAGAGACTCTCGAGCGATGATGATAGTAAAAAAAAAAACAACCCTTAGCTTGGTTACAAATTTAAACCTTACTTTGCATCTTTCGTATGCGACTGTTGGAAACATACGACAGATAAAAAGATAATACTTGCGTTTGTTCCTTTTGAAGAGAGCAACCTTGACTTGTCAAATGTGACACATACAAGCAACAATGCTGTAGTGTCGAACGGTATTTGGGAAAGCAATGAAATTGCATGGGAAAGCAATGAAATTGCATGGGAAAGCGATCAAATTTCTTATAATGTGTGACACTTTTTCATTATATGACAGAAGACAAATTTTAAAAATTTTAAAGTTTATCAGTGTCTCATAAACCTTTATAGCTTGGTGAAAATGTGTTAAATAACATAAAGTTTTATAAAATACGGTATTTTTACACACCCCTCGATTTATCCAATACCTCGTGCGGAATGTATTCTTATCCATGCGAAAAGATAATACGTTATTCTTAAGCACAGCATATGCAATTAAAAACGTAAATGGTCTATTTAAAAGGATTTAAATTAAATTGCATTTAGAATACAAACTATGGCATATGGTTGGGAGACCGGGGAATTATATTTATAGTCAATAAACAAATACAATGAAAATTATTTTTCTGGAATCAATATTGATATGCTTTCTTAATCGTCGTTATGTAGGCCAATCAGATCATGCAGAAGCATCGTCCGTTTTCCTTTTATCGTGTGATGTCAAGTCACTAAACCGATGTCCCACGTTATCTGTGCCTTTTTTCTTATAATTTGACTTTACAATAAATAAAAAGAGGATTGTAAAGTAAAACACTGTTTCTGGAACGTCGAATTGATGAACAATTTCTCGCCAAAATTAAACAGGTGGGCGATCACTAATTGTGGGGTTTTTACCACCAGTCCTGGAAATTCTGGCTTTTAAAATGAGTTGGAGAATGCAAATTTCTTTCTGCACTCTGAAAATTCTGAAAAATGAAACTCTTAACAAACAAGTAACAAAAAAAGCCAATGTGGTACTAGACGTCATAGTCTGCATGAAAAATCGCCTAAAATTCCTAACTGGTCCACACAAAGTCTATTTGCCCTACGTACTTCCATTACCTGGTATAAGAACCTCATGAGAAGAAATCTATGAAGCTCTCAAGACTGAAGCAGGCACTCTCTAATGATTTTAAATCCTTGTTGAACTCAACTGATAAACTGCTGGGCCATTTTTTACCGGGTGAGAGTAATATAATCATACCCATACACTGCAGAACAGCGCAACTGCAAATTTGTCATTTTCATAATCGCTTATAAATTTGACAGTTTCACAGAGGAAAGTTTTACAAATCTCCGTCTTACCACTCGTTTTATAAAATCGTGGTTGAAAGCACATAAACTGGGTATAGATATTTGGGCGTGACTTATGCAGGGGTCATCCTATCTGGACTATATCTGATTGAGATGTAATATATCAAGCATGCGACGCAGTGTTTCATCACCAGATAAAACGCTGAGAAGCGAGTTGAAAATACGGCTCGCAGCGGAGTATTTTTAACGAACTTCGAGGTGTTTCATCTGGTGATGAAACATTGTGTCGAATGCTTCGATATTGCTTCTCAAACAAAATGATTTTAGAAGGGGAAATCAAGGATGCAAAATGAACAGTTTTTCGTCTGGTTTCCAAACACTCATCAATTGATTTCCTTTGAGTTTTTTTTATGAATTATTACTGAGTTTGAGAAGTAATTCAGACTGTATGAGCTACGGGAAATTATGTAGAAAAAAAATCTGCACACTTGGAGACTTTCTTTAAAAAATGACTGACGCCGTGCTGTACTTAAGATATAGCGAAAGAGCGACAAGTATTTGCTTGTTTGGTATTTAAATTCTTTTTCTGCGAATATAAAACAAAAAATTCGGAAAGGGCATCTTACGCGGAAATTGCAGTTTGAAAGAAAAAAAAAAAAGGAAAAAACAAACAACCAAAAGCAAAAATTACACAACAATAACAACAGTGGAAACAGACACAGAACAAAGAAACAGACGAAAGAATCCATGCAGTACTTCTAGGTTTGAAGAGAAGAAGAACAGGTGGTATCTCAACTGCATAGGCCTACGGGCCGGGGGGCGAGGGGGGCTGCAGCCCCCCCAAATTTTGGGCAACTCAGATTTTTTGGGGCAACAAGAGAAAATTTGGACAAAGCCTGTTTTTAAAGACGTCTTCATGTTTATTTAATTATTTTGAAGACCTGAATATTAACCTGAAGTCGGCGTAATAATCCAGTTACATTCACACGAGACAGTAGTCGCCTAACATGTGATGAGTAATTTACATATATTTTTTTTGTTATTGTTGTGCACCGTACTGCACTGCACTAGCTGGAATGGGCTATCCAGTCATGAATTGATTAGAATAAACTTTCGCATAACTTTCTAGAATCATCTCCACTCGAAGAACAGGGTAGGTCTGAAAACGGAGGAGTGGCTGACTAATTCTCAGTTTGAATTACGAGAATCATCTTGATTCTTTTAAAAAATCTATCGCTCTATTGTTAAAGTAGACCGAAATGTTTACAAAACCGCTAACAAGAGCGCCGCAATACATACTAATCAAATCCTTCTTACTAGCAATCGGGCAGAGCTATTTCCACGATCTTTCACACATGTTTTTAAGAAGATTAAAACTACTATGAGGTGAAATTGCATGTCAAAAGCGCTTCGTTTTCTACAGATAACGGCAAAACCTCACGATTTTCCTTTTCTTACCGTATTTTTAACGGTAAAAACTTCATCCCAAACTATCGCGATAAAGCTCTTACAGATTTTGCTTAAACTTTGCAAACATCGAGAAGACCGTATTGGCAAAAAAAGCTCCTGTGAACGATTTTGTAAGGTTCCCAGTGCCGAGAATTTTTAATTTTGTTGAGGTAAAATAGGTAATGGCGTGATTTCGATGCTATGACAACTCCGATGTCATTGCAACCCTTATCAATATGACAAATTTTCATCTACTGTGGTGGCAATTTTTCCTAATGTTTGTTTATGACGACGTAGTTTATGCTCAAACTTGGCATTTACCCTGAAAAACTGTATCGAGCCACCTTCATACGCCATTGCGGCCTATGTTGTTGCAATATGGCCCCCGTTTCTTTTCGACTCTTTTGTAAAAATTTGGGACACTTGCGAGAATTTTTTGGGCAAATGGTTTACCGCCCCCCATGGCCAAAAATTTCCCGTACGCCTATGATCTCAAGTGCTTTAAGTCTTCCGAGTTTTCTTGGAATGTTACTGAAAATATAAACTGTAAAAGTTGTGAAGTGGCGTGTTTTTGTCTTATGCAAATAGGTTATATTTCTAAGAATGGGTGAAGAACAGGTGGTATCTCGATTGCTTTAAGTCTTCCGAGTTTTCTTGGAATGTTACTGAAAATATAAACTGTAAAAGTTGTGAAGTGGCGTGTTTTTGTCTTATGCAAATAGGTCATATTTCTAAGAATTATTCTGTTAGTTAATCAGCTTCAAAGTTCGGGAATTTGTTTTAAGCTATAACTTGCTTGAACTCTGAATTTTCCTCGCAAACATTTTGAATCGAAGGCAAACTGTATTACCCTATTTTCAAACAGAATACTGAACTTCTTTGGGCAAACCAGTCGGTAAATATTTCCACCATTTATCGTCTTCCGGGTTTTCTTGGAAAGTTATTGCTTTTGCGTTGTACCTCAAACTTAAAATTCAATTGATAGCTTCTGAAACTCTCTAATTTCAACGTTTAATGCCGAGACCTTACCATATAACCTTTCACGCAAAAATAAATCGTTGCTCGCCTGCGTCTTTGTTACAAAAATATTATTTAACGTGTGCTCGTTTTGCTGCTCCCGTATATTAGAAAAAAAAAAAAAAGAATGCGGTTCATATTTTCGGCTCACACTCAGTGACACTCACTTTTATTACAGTTGTTGTGAACAGGTAAATTAACAGAGTATTAAAACGAGGTAATTTTTTGCCAGTACAAGCAATTGAAACCCACATCAGATCTATCGGTCCTCTAAAATCCATAAATCGACTGTATAAGCATCTACTGTAGAACTTCTGTACAAAGGCTTGTCTCAGTTCATATATAGTTACTCAACGATTACGAAGTTATAAATATGAAGTAGCAACTCATTACACGTAAAACTGTGCACCAATTGCGGCATCGTATCCACAGTCACGAAAACATTTATGTTCTATTTAGCTTAGCTTATTCGTTACACTATCTGTCCGTCTGTTAGTAGCCCCGCAGTTCATCCATGGAAGAAACCTTGCGACACCATTTTATCCAGGACAGGACGATCTGGTACACTATGTCTGGATGGCAGGACTGCTTGTTCCTCTGGAGAATCGTTTACGACCAATTTTCCGGTGTCCATGTCGAACTGCAACCTCTCTTGTCTCTCTGGCCTATTGCTGTAGTTGTAACCAGTGGCTCCTTCCTCGATTGCTCGCGATCTGTGCGATCCACCATAGCCTGTGTCATGGGGCCAAGTACTTTTTTCATGTTTGTCTTCCATCGTTTCTTAGAACAGCAGGAGTACGGTGAGCATTCAAGGCGATGTAGTAAAAGACTCACAAACTAGGAGTGTATGTTTGTCGTATTTCCTTTACGTAAAGGTCACTGCGCTTAAAAGGACAATTCAACGAAAATGAAAGCGGAAGTAGGTGGCACGCATGCGCCACCTCCGTTGAGGAACCGTGTTGCTTTGGGTCAGCAGTAACATCAAAACAAATCTTGGGCCTTTCAGTTTATGGCACAGGGCAGACGTTAAGAAAAAGGGAAGACACCTGAAGGCGTTTTCGCGGGATGTGTTGGTGTAAGTAAGAATTATGTTGAATGGCTTTGGAAAGTTGAGCAGTGTATCAACAACAAATGTATGCAGGAGAGACGGAGATGTTCTGTCAAATACACTAGAAGATAAGTTACACACAATGGCTCCTTTGCCCCTCAAACCAAAACTTACATCAATATTACCACCATATATGTTAAGAGTATGGGGTGGTTCACTAACAATTGCATTCCGGCTTTACTAATATCCTCAATAAATGCACTTCCACATTCAACAATAGCATGTAATGTATCAGACTACAGGGCGCAAGGTTGTGCTCTAAAGAAAATTTTCAGGGAGCCCTTAGGGCTACCAAGCATTTCAGCGGGGTGACCACGCCTAAAAGATGTTTGCCCAAATAAACTTTTCGAGGAGCCCTTCGGGCTCCCAAACATTTTAGCTGGGGTGCCCGGCCGTCCAAGTCAGTCCCCAAATTAATATATCAGTGAGCTGTTAGTTAATTATTTTAATAATCAACTAAACAAATCAAACAAAATAATTTCTAAAATTTTAACAAGTCAAGCAGAACTTTGTGTTTGATTTTTTATTTTCATGAAAAATCACATCCTTTGACCTCCTGGGCGTGCGAAAAAAAAAAACCGCATGATGCCATATGGAAGTAATGAAACCCATCAAAATTTTCGCGCAATATGAGAAACAATGGACAAAAGGGGCTACAGGGGACACAATGGGACACCAGGGGACACAGGGACACAAGTGACATAGGGGACACAAAGGGACACAGGGGACACAAGAGACACAGACACAAGGGGACACAAAGGGACACAGGGGACAAAGCGGACACAAGGGGACACAACGGTAAGAGGGGACACAGGGCAAACAAGGGAACACAGGGGACATAGGGGACTCAAGGGGACTTAAAGGGACACAGGGGACACAAGGGGACACAATGGACAAAGGGGACAGTAAGTAAGATTGTGGTCTGTTTATGTAATTTTTAGTAAAATGTTTGGGTCAAAACTAAGGACACTATTCTTTTTACTAATCATTGAGTTTGAATAGAAAATTCTCTTAAGATAAATGACTGAGATCGTGTGGAGCTTTTCGGGAAAGCTGCTGTGAATTTCAACGAAACCGCGGCCGCCCCCAAAACTAGCATCTCTTTTGAATAGAGAATTGGAGAGCCGTCGTTTTATATTATCGGCGAAAAGTTCAGGACAAATGAGCTTTTTGTGGATTCGGTAGCCAGCTAGCTCTACTTTGACCGCTAAATTTGGCTTTTGCGTATTTATTTTTAACTAATTACCAAAACCCCATTTTTCACACCGGGGCACTCCCTTATTTCGTCTTAACGGGTGTGTGCCCCCTGAACAATTATTTGAACAGGATATAGTTAGTTTCAGTCAGGGCCTTGAAAGGGTATAAAATTTCACTATTTTAGGGTCCTTAACAATAGCGTGAGGGTTGGCCATGAGCGGTCTACATTTCTGATACCAACATTCAGGTTTCGCAAAAAAACTAATTCTATGATATTTGTTTGAAAGATCACTTTGCTTTGTAAGCCATTGAAACACGAAACGAACCAGGGTCATAAAATATGATCTCCTGTCTTAAACAAGTTAGCAAAATAAACTACACTTGGCGAAATCGAGAAAATCGCATCTTTTGGTGAAAATATTCCCAAAGACTACTACTTGTCGACCATTATACTATCCGACTGATATATGCAATCTCTGTGTCCAAAAACATTCCTGAAAACAACTATATCTACGTTATTCAGTTTTGTGATGAAGATGATTGAGTAATCGCACTACATTGGAGTCACAAATTTAGCTGTGAAATTATTTACTGCATGAGTTCAATTTCAGAAAGCAGAAAGTGTACATTTAGCCCTTGAGAAGACCATCTCGAATGGTTGTTGTACATGCTTAGGACGCGAATCCTTGACTCCAGGGTGTCATTATGTTTTGCTGACTTGGCGAATCAGGTGGGGTATCCAAATCCATAAGATTGTCTTCCTCCTTGCTTTTATTTTCCTCCGTCTTGTCGCTCCTCTCCTGCCTTTCTCGAAAAACCTTTGCAGCATGAAGAGGTTGGATTTCAAGTGGCCTATTAGGCAATGAATTGCCACTGTAAACATAGGAAGAAATACCCACTGATTTAGCCTCTTCGTCGTTTTGAACGATGTAAGCTATAACCAAAACACATCGGAGAGGAAATTGTCGGCGAAAATTAGCTTCTTCATCTGCAGTGGGTTTGTCTCCTCCTTCAGCCACAGGTCGACGCAGGATGTATTTCCCAATTTTCTGTATGCCTGGGTACTCCTCATTGGCCAAGTTTTCCTCTCCACTGCTTTCTGCGGCGTCTTGTGGTTGAGTTCTTGAGGCGGGCTCACAAGCCTGTTGCTCGTTTGGCTTGTCCAAGGGTTTGTGAAAGCTGTGCAACACTGGCTGTTCGTCAGTCGTCCACAAACCAAACAAATCTCCCTCACTTGTTTCAGTACCACCACTTTCAAGGAGGAGTCCCTCAATCATTTTATGATCTTCGTCAAATATATACGTGTAAGCTTCATTACCCTTTGAAACATGACTTGGTGTAATAGATGTCTTGCTTCTGCTGCGTTCTCTTTGTAAATATTCTTGGACAGTTGAAGAGTCGTCTTCGCCCTGTTGCATGTGGCTAACGATAGGATCTAACCTGGCAAATGGGCTCTGTCCATGAAGGAGGTTGATTTTACGTGTTTCGTAGTTTCTTTGCCCCTCTCTGTAAAGATATGGTGACAGGGTTACCTCACCAGATGACGGCAGAATGTTAGCAATGATGAGAAGAAAGCCACAAGTTCCTCTGGGGAAATTTCGAATAATGGTCGACGAATCACCCGAACTTGGCTCAGACAGTCGTAGGCGATGGTGAGAGTGCCACTCTCCGATGTGGCACAGCTGATAATCTCGTGTGACAAGTCCTCCAACACGCTCCAGATAAGGAATGCTCTGATAGAAGGACACCTCTGTGCGAGTGCAACCGATGGCCGGACCAAGCACGATGTGTAATACAGGCTCATCATTATCAGTCCACAAACCAAAGAGATTTCCGCCTGTCTCTTTGCCTGGATGAAGCAAGACTAAGTTAGCCATTCTCTTAGCGTCGTGTTCAAATAAATGGACCTTTTTAAGGGGATCTCCAGAGCCAAAGGTATTGCGAAAAAAGGCCTTCATTGTAAGAAAGATGCGACTGTTAGTACCTAAACTTAAATGCAACGAGTTCTTGTTAATTACTTACTGATCATGCATGCACAAAAAAAGACATTTTCCCGGAATTGCGCTTCCTTTATCAAATTTAACACAACAATAATATAAACATTCTGATAGATGGGCCCAAAGTACCTTCCGTTTTTTCTGGGAAATGTTGTGTGACACTTTCGGTCTTGCGTGTTCCGTGCCCGTGACCCTTTCAAGTGTGCATATTCTAAAATCACAATGTTAAAACAAGAAGCGTTTTGGTACTAGCTTTTCTCTGAAACGAATTGAAAAAACTTTTAAACCACTCAGGTATTTAAAACCGTGAGACTTGATATATTTTAGCTGGTAGAAACCTTTAACAGCTGTAGTCTCCCTCGGTATATACATCGAACAGAAAAAGGATTCAAGAAAAAAATTAATTTTAACATTGAAGATTGTCGTTGTAGCTCTACACTCTTCAATAAAAAAGGAAAACAATTATACTGAATGGATTGAATGTATCATTAAATTGTATCAGTAAGAGGACTATGATTAATAAGTATGTATAGTGGGGCACTACCCTGGAACTCGTATCTATTGGCGGCAGAGAAGAATGAACCAAGTTTGTTTTGGTTTGGCTCTTATTTTTTAAATACGTGGGAACGCTAGCCATCGGCCATGCCTACGATGTTGGTGACCACCTTTATGTAAAAGTTGTCTAACGCTACATTTACTGTTATAGTTCCTCTAAATTCGTGAATAAAAACTTGATTTTCTGCACGGCAGTGCTGTGTAAAAAATGTACATTACAAAAAGGACATACTTTGTGCACTAAGCTTTGGTTTAAATAAGTTATTTTGTTGTTAATGAAATGTAGTGTAGTTCAAAGACGCTATTTTGCCCTACTGTTTACCAAAAATTCTAAAGTTTCGATCTCACTTACTTCTGCAATAAAGCTGTATTAACCAGAATAGCTTTTCGGTATGCTTTTCGAGAGGCACATGTATCAAAGTTTCTCCTAGGCTTAAAATGTATCGCTGCATTTTCATGGTTGTTAAATGAAAAACACCCTTTTAGCGTTAGAACATACTTTTTATTGCATCAAATTGCCAATGCACGATAAATAACCGTGCATAGAGGCTCGATTATCTTTCTTTGTCATTCCGTGCATAGTGCCTTTGTCCTTGATGCACCATTTAAGAACGATAATCATTTAGACGCGAAGAGAGAGGCACGATAACCACTTTAGAACAAAACGTATTCGTAAATTCAACTCGTGAAGTTGAAAATGCTTTGTTGATACAAAACTGATCTTACAAGTTCAAATATCCCAGTTTAGTATATGCTAAAACAGTGGATAGTGTTTTTCGCGCGCTCTGATTGGCTACTCAATCAGTGAATATCCTGCACTATTCACTGATTCTCCCCCAGTTCCTCCGAGCGAGCGACGCCAAAGTCGCGTAGGTTGCGAGCAAAATGCTTTCTCGGTTTGCTGCCGTAACAAACTAAGAAATTTCACAACTAATCAAACAAGGTATTTCCGAAATACATCAAGAAGGTGACGATCAAGCCAAACCTTCAAAATTGTCCATTTCGAAACAGAAAAACTGAACTTATCAATAGCTATTTTGGCCACTTTTTCAAAAAACAAATGTTTACGTTTAATAGCTTGTCTTGCGTTACTTTATTTAGTTGACTTGTTCATGAATAAGCTTAAAACTAAATTTAAGAATCTTTTTTACAGAATTATTTTAAATACAAACAGAATTCACAACTCCTTTTGAAGAAACTTTCCCGCAAGATCTAAACAAACGCCTTCAAAAGTTTTATTTGTCGCTAAGAAAAAGCGACGACCGCGGCCGTTCGGTCATCGCGCGTCAAAATTGTAATCGTTGGCAACAGTAAATGAGTTGAAAATCATCATTTTGTGCTCAATTATCTCACTGTTTTAGTATATACTAAAACAATTATTCACCTCAGTGTTGCTGGCTAGCATTGGATATTTACCTCGCCCCTTCGCGGTCTCGGTAAAAAGGAACAAGGCCAGGTATCTGGTGAACTGAAGTCAGACCCTATATCATATAGATGTGGTATCGATCGTAGAAATTTTTTTACCAGACACCTGTTAGTTCTGGCTTATGCCAAATACCCTGGCGCAAGTACCATAAGCAACAAACGTGCTGATCATCGTTTAAAAGGGCGCACACAATTCTTTTGAGGCGAGAATGGGGAAATTTGGGTAATTCATGAAAAGAAATCTTATTAAATGACTTTGAACGAAAGGAGCTGCGAGTTAAAGGTCAAATACTTAATTATTTATAACAGCAGTAGGATTGCAAAATATATTGCCCAAACTAAACCAGCCAACCGCCTCCCCCCACAACCTTATGAAATTGGCATAGCTTATTTACTTTCATGATAATCTCTGTCCATTGTCCTTATCGATCCTTAGATCACAGAAAACTCTGAAACTCCAAGTTTTCCAGTGATAGGAATGTTTTTAAAGCACAATCAAGTTGTGTAACTGTCTTTCGAACATAGTGGCATCAATATCATCTATTTTCGAATCCCCTATAACACACTCTGCTTGCCCCCCCCCCCCCCACACCTCCCACAATGTAAAAACAACTTTGCTTTTAAATACTTTCCGGAACATATCATTTTTCTAAAATAACCTTTCTAAAAAATTTTTTAAAAATTGGGGGGCAAATCTTTTCACTTTTTGTTGTTTTGTTCTTTTTTGATCGTGAATCTATTGTCGCAGGTTTTGATGTGTATATCCATCCTTAAAACACAATAAACCCTGAAAACCCCAAGTTTTCCAGGATTAGAATGTTTTTAAAGCACAATCAAGTTTTGTAACCGTCCTTCCAACATAATTGCATCAATATCATCTATTTTCCAATCCCCCATAACCCCCCTTGCTTGCCTCCCCCCCCCCCAACCTCTCAAAGTTTGCATAAACCATTGTTTTTAAATGCTCCTGGGAATACTGCATTTTCCAAACAGCATCTCATCAATAACTTATGCAAAATTCGGGGGGCAAACAGTGTTATTATGGTGGATTTGCTCTCTTGTGACCTCATGACATCATGACGGAGTTTTTGAATGTTTTAGAAGTCACATCCATGTATGTTCTGAATCTGTATCAGAATTTCCATGCAGGCCGTATCTGTTGCTTCTTTTGTGACCCTAGTGTATGCCATTTCTTTTCCCCAATGCGGCGCCTGTGCTTTGATGAAGTGACTGGTGTTGAAACTTTATATGGATGAGCTAGATCTTTTCTGGGTGAATTAAGCCCAATTGTATGCTGCCCAGAGACGCTACGGATCGGAGGTTTGTGGAAATTTTGTATAGGCACATATTGCAAGGATGTGCTTCTTGGAGATTCATGAGTTCGGAAAGGATTTCTTGCACTTCTTTGGGAAGAATATTTCCCAGTTTCATAGGACTTCAGCCGATGACCCGAAAAATCGTGCGACTCATGAAGTAAATGTCTCTCTATTTCTCTCCCTTGATCAGTGCTATCTTTAATATTTCTCATGCTTTTAAAAAGATTTGGAACACGCAGAACTGTAAGCGCCCCCTTTAGATCGTAACTATAACTAGATCTCTGCGTATAAAGGTACGGAGACAGTTCCACTCTGTGAGATGATACGATGTTAGCGATTATCAAAAAGGAAGCCGCATACTCCACGTGGATAGTTTCGAATGACAGTGGATGAATCACCACCGCTTGGCTGAAAAAGATGTAACTGATGATGCGAGTGCCATTCTCCTATGTGGCAGAGCATGTAGTCTTCAGTAAGGAGCTCGCCATTTCTTTGCAAATAGCCGATATCTTGATAAAAGGATGCTCCGGTTCGTTTGCAGTTCTGGCCTGGTCCAAGTATAACGTGAAGCACAGCGTCACCTTTAGTGGTCCACAAACCGAACAGGTCCCCACCAGTTTCTAGATTTGGGTACTTGAGAACGAGGTTTACCATCATTTGGTAGTCTTCTTCAAACATGAAGACCTTGAATTCGTACCTGTTAACTGCAAACTCTTTCTGATATTCCTGCCTGCGAAGGTAGATCGGGTCTTCTAGCAAATGAGGTCTTTCGCCCATGTTTACAGCCTGATTATTTTCATCGATTGAAGGGCTCAGAATCTCTCGCCGTGATGCTAAGTTGTCGCCAGTGATTGACAGTTCCTTCAAGGCGTCTGTAGCTTGCTTAAGATCTTCTTTCTGACGTTCAATGCTAATTCTTCTTGCCCTCTCCAAGCGACTAAACGGGCTTTCGAAGGCGGGAAGAGTCTTGAGTTCCATTTTCCTGCCTTTTGTTGAAACTTGTAGCGTTGTCCCCCAAATGATGACGTCTAGAAATTCGTCCGAGGAGTTGGTCTCATGGGTGCATCTTAAATCGTCGATTTGTGGTAGCGTCTTCTGATTAAGTGGCGTGGTAGTATCGTCGGAGCGCCAATTACCAATGTGCACAAGGGGAAAACCATTGTCCACGAAGTCGGGGAGATTTGAGCTACGTTTGTCAATCCTTGAACAACTGTTTCGACCACCAATAACGTGAATAACAGGCTCTCCGTCTGTGGTCCACAAACCGTACAGAGCTCCTTGATGTTCTTGCTCTGCCTTCAATAGAAGTTCGTTTAATTCCTTTTCGAAGACGAAAGCTTGGTGCAACACTTCCATGGCTGTTTGGCGCTTACGAACGAGTCCTCAAACAAACGCGGTTGTGCCAACGACGGGAAACTTTTCCTCATGCGTAGCAAAATCAGTGATTTCTTAGAAATAGCGAGCTGTTCTTTAATCATATTCCCTATTGGAGGGTCAAGTTCTTTGCCTCGCCTTCTGCAACAAGTTTTGACTGTTTTGTATTTACGAGCGAGTCTTCAAACAAACTCCAGACCCATTTTCTCTGATGCGTGGCAAAATAAGTCATTTCCCAGAAAGAGCGGAAGTTAGCCATGGCTATGTAAATTATATGTCATCCGCTACGAGTATTGTTTTCCTTTAAAGAATATTAAATATATTAAGATTATCAACATGATGGAGTTTTCTACCAGATTGTTCGGGGTTTCTCAATTTGTTAAATACTGCAGCAGGAAAACAACTGTTGTTTTGGTTTGCTCAGAAATTTGTATTGATAACAATGTAAATGTCATGACTATGTCTGTAAAATTCTGTCATATGAAAAAGTTCAAACTCCGAGGGTTTTCTAACCCGTTTGTGTTATTATAATCGCCCGAATGATATTACGGACGACCTGACGAACGCTGATGTGGATCCCTGGGAATATGAATGCCAAAGTACTTCTTCGCTGCAGAAATCCTTCGGAGTAGGTGGGTTGGGTGAGCGGCGGGGGCCAGGGTGGAAATTACCCAACTTAAACCATGGTTGGGGGTGTGAGCTTGCTCGAACGCAATTTCCTATAAGGGGTTTTCAGTGTTTTGGGCCCAAAGAATATATATGTTTTTAGTTTTATTTTCGATCTCCCTTTACCATCTCTTGTCGTGAGTAAGAGTTTGCTGTTATCTCTTCACAGTGGGGAGAGAGAGTTTCTCTAGGCCAGTCTCTCAGGCAGTTTTGTTTCTTTTTAGCATCAATTGTGGAATTAAAATCACTACCTTACAGTGGCAGATAACGTTTGCTCTTTAAGTAATTATTGGACAAATTTTTGTATAGAGTGATTTTAGTTCCAAGTATTTACAAGCAAACAAAAGAAAACAATGAAATTAGAGAGTAATAGTTCGTATCAATCCACTATCTATTTTACCAAGTTAAAAAAAAATCACACTAATCGTTGAATGTATATAAGTGTTCATATGAATATACTGAATGAATGTGTAGTGTAACAACCACCCCAACTAGCTTACGATGGACCAAAGAAAAGCGTTTTGTCTAGCTCTTCTGTATTTCCGTCGATAAGTTATGCCATTGCCCGATGCTCAAACAACTTATGATCTCCTGATTAATACTATATCTTAGAGGAGGTATAATTCGGACAAATTTACCCTTACCCTCTGGCAAGTTCCAATGAACTTGTCTTGAAAATATATCTATTTAACAAGGAGCCTGAATTTGTACAACAGATCAGAAGTGTAGTAAGTCTTGGGCACCTAAGTGTAACGCCAGAGGCAATCCTTTTTTATTACGTTAAGATTGGCCCGTCTGGAATCAAAAACTTTAACAAAAAGATCCCGTTTCTCATGTTATCAGCCATTCATGCTACTGAGTCAGTGTTCGGAATGATGGAATGGGCCTCAGAAAAGAACCGACTTAAACTTATAGAAAACGCCATAATTTTATAAGAAAATATGCACATTGATTTTGAGCAGCAATTAGAGTGGCTAACTACAGCTAGCTATAGTCGTACTAAAGACGATGGATCGATGGCCTGCAGGCAGTGTCTAGTAACGTTTCCCTTTTTTAGACGTACTTTTTTGAAGGTTGTAGTCGTGATCCACTTCCATAGGTTCCACGCGGTTGTGCCTGTAGGCATTTGAATGGGTGCAGCTCCTAGGTGGCTTGCCTTGCCGAGTGCAACCCACTCCCGCAGACTTTTCGTAGTGTCGGGAACGCGCCGCCTGCTCACGTTGTAAACGAACGTCTGTTTTTGTTTCTTTCCCCTCTTTTATGGTATCCTGAATATCACGCAGTTCCTTGAAGACGTTCTGAGCTTGCAAAGGAACAACCTCTCCTTTTCTGCTATAAGTAAAAGTAGAATTCTCAGTATACAGATATGGCGATAGCTTTACTTTATCGGGTGCCACGATATTGGCGATGATCAGGAGAAAGCCATAAACTGTTCCCCTAGGAAAATGCCTTATCACTGTAGATGAGTCACCCTGGCTGGGCTTGAAAAGGCGCAGTTGATGGTGGGAGTGCCACTCTCCAATGTGGCCTAACATGTAATTTTCAGTCAGCAGTTCACCGTTCCTTTGCAAATAAGGAATATCTTGGTTGAAGGACACGTCTGTCCGGCTGCAGTTTCTACCCGGGCCGAGAACAATGTGCAGGACAGCATCACCCTCGATAGTCCACAAGCCAAACAGGTCTCCACCGGTTTCTACATCTGGATACCGGAGAACAAGCTTCTGTACCATTTCTATGTCTTTTTCAAACATGTATACCTTTAAGTAATTGGCTGTAAAATTTGTAAGTTCTGGTAGAGGACGAGACTCCCTTGTCCTTTCTTCGTCACCAAAGGAATCAATGTCACTTTTTCTCGGAATAGCCTGTAAGGAATTAGTATAAGTAGTCACTCTTGTTTCGTTGTCGGCTGGGTTCATCTTGACGTCTCCTTGACTTTCGTTCCTGGCATCATCTTGCACCGACGAGTCCCCGATTATTTTTCTTATTTCATCAAGTTTCCTGAAGGGGCTTTCACCATGGAGAAGTTCAATATTACCTCTGGTTGAGATTGACGTTTTTGACACTATGTAGGGCGAAAGATCCAAGTTTTCATGATTTGCCACGATGATCAAATTATATTGAACTTTATCTTTCTTCCAAAGAGGTTCGTCTTTGCGAAGGGATTCTGTTATTTCTCTGCGCTTTAGCTCTGTGTCGCTTTGGCAGTGCCATTTCCCAATGCGTGGCAAACCATAGTTTTCAAATAAAGGTTTTCTACTACTCTTTAGGTTGTCTTTGCTTTTAGGCGATGTTCCAGAACTTTCGGTGGGCTCCTTTCCCCTTCCCGACTGCCCTGTAGCTAAGTGTATGACGGCTTTGTTGTCTTCTGTCCAAAGGCCAAACAGATCACCGCTCGTCTCGCAACCTTTATGCTCTGCAACAATTTGTTTTATGATTTCCTTATCCTCTTTAAACATATAAACAGTCGGGTTACTCTTGCTTGGTTTTTCCATCGCCAAATTGAATAAAAAGGGCACTCGTCTGCACACTCGCTGTTGAAGCGTTTAGAACTGTGTACAAATGGCGTCTTCCGTCAAGCCACTAAGCCGGGAATCATGCGCAATGAAGAGCGTGATTTCATGGAAAAATATCAGCTTCCACGTTGAATTCGTTAGCCTCCTTCGAGCTTATTGTTTTAAATATTGCTGACCGAAAGCGACATATTTCACTTAGAAAACTTGTAAATTTGTGCTTTAAAATTTAGCCCTGAGAAGAGGAATGTCAAACCAGTTTTGAAATTTTTTTGTGTGTTGAGTGTGAACTGTATAATCTCCCAACTGAATGTTTTGCAGCAGTTTAGAAGTAAGTGTTCCTTCTTTTCTAGGAAATGTTTTTCATCAACATTTCCTCCAAATCCATTTCGTAGAATTTCGGGACAAAATGAAACCGATTTTAGTGATTCTACTTGTTGTGTGGTTCTTGACAGAATTTTGTGCTTGCTGAAGGGTTCTTGTGGCTTGTTTTCTGTTAATAGAAACTCACAGTAACTATGACCATTATATCTGAGATGAGAATACATCAAACGGTTTCAAGTTATGAATATAATCTTGTTAAATAAGATAGTCTTTGTTACGTTACTTCAGTTGTGTGACGCGACATTTGCATACGAGTTCGTTGACGCGATTAGATCCTTTTCAAAAACGAAAGATGTCTTTAGTTTATACTTAACACTACGAGCTTCTACTACGAGAAGCCACTCGCTCTTCTCAGTTAGCTGCAGATACAGGAGGCAGCCATTTTTCTTTGACAACTGACAAGACTGATGACTTGACCCGGTCGCAGTTATTGAATATGTTGTCCGTGCTGGATAACAAAGTTCTTGGAAAAGGTCTTAAACAGCAGTCGTAAGGCTAAGGAAAAGATTAAGGAGGTTGGAGGTGCCTTTGTCCTCTAGCATAAGAAAAGTTGGGTACAAAGTGGACCGAAAAGATTTACCGGCACTGGCGCACCAAATATTAAAACGCGCAAACTGATCGAAAAATAACATTGATAATGTTCTACCACGGTACCGTCATTTGATTGAGCAAAAAGACGATTTTTAATACAGTTGTAACGTCAAAATATGTAGATGTAGATACAAAGTACGTTAAAATCGCCACTGGGCAGGGATTCATGCTCGGTTAAGTTCCTGATTTTAGGCTAGCAATGTTTCTACGTTTAGGTCCTTCCTTGGCACCTTTATTTTATTGATTATCTTTTGAACTATAGCTAACGTAAGCACAAAACATAAATTTCTATTCAATCAACATATTTTAGATTTTACGTTTCGCTTAATTACAACTTCATGCTTGAGAGCTGTTATAATTAAGTCTTCCTCATTTTCTAGGAAATGTTTTTATTCGATATGCCAGTGATTAGTTTTTGCACATTAAATTCAGGGATTACTAGGTTTCCTAGAAAATGTTTGTGTTTGCTTTTTCGACTTTCGCCCGCCAAATTATAATATGTCACTCAAATTTCGAAAGTATTTATCAATTCAAGTTTCTGTGTCTGAAATATTGTACTTAAACAGTGTTCTTGAGTTAAAGTAAGGCCAACTTTAAGCATGTGGCGCTTTGTTAATTTTTTTTCCACATTTCCATTTATTTATTTCCTCAGAAATAATCTATGAAAGGGCTGTGAATATTATTGAATTATCATAATTGGTGTCTCTTTATGTTTATTCTACACTTCAAAAACCCAGTGGTGGAAATGAGTTTTGCTTCTTTACTACTGGAAACTAGCTTAAGGAAGCCGGCAGAATCCGAATATGTGACTTAGTGAGAAATCTTACTGCTTGCGATATGATACCTGTAAATATCATTGATTTATGATCAGACAATTCAGCTTTGCTACAGAGTAACGCCGACTGAATATGTAAACTTGAAATTAAATATAATATAAACGACTGTAATATAAGTATTGCCAGAGCTCGGGGTTCTACGAGGAATTTTAGTACTTCAGACTGAAACACAAGTTTGTTTTAAGGATCGGGAAATGTCTTTGTTACAAGCTTCTCCAACAAAACCATCCACTAGTAGCCATTCCCTCTATGACTTGCCTGTCTGGTGATTTCGCTTCAATTTGGGTCTGAGACTCTGGGCCACTCTCAACAGTTAATTTCCCGCTGTGCAGATCAAAAACTAATCTTTCTTTCCTTGTGCTGTCCTGTCCGCCTTGAGCAATGACCTTAAGTGTACTTGCCACCACCTCGGATGTTACAGTCGTAGTACTTCCATCTTCTGCTTTCGTTTCTGTGTCCTTTTGTGTCACAAAGTGAAAGTCAAATTCTCTTAAGCTCTTTGCGTTGCTTTTCTCTGTTGAGTCCATTCTGTTTTAGCTCTTTCCTTAAGCCGTCTAGGGCAAGTAAGTTCTGCTGACGTGCTTTCTTTTTGTAAGCTGTTTTGCAAAAACAAGGGTAAAATTAGATGATTTTTCTAGTTGTTTTTATCGGGGAAAAGCCCCTTTCCAAATGCGTCTCACAACTTCCGCCTTTTTTCCATAATAGGTACGACACGAGGGAGTCACAAAAGACCCTTCCAAGAAAACGCAAATATAAGAATGACGTCATACCTTTTACGAGAACGAAATTCTGAAAAGGAAAGCGCACTAGAGAACAGAGGCAAACATCAATCATAAACTTGGCGAATAGCTAGTTGCACGTCCCAAGCTCTCTCCAGTTGTCCACCGCATAGAAAGGACCTATTATCAAGTGAAAAGCCAAAGATGTCGTCCAACCCGCAACGTATTCAACAACATCTTGAGAACAGAGGAGGAAGCTCTGAGTCGTTAGTATTTGACCCTGCTACAGGAAAATTGATGGTGAAACCACAACATGAAGCACAAAACTCGGCTGACAGGACTGTCATGCTTGACATGAACAAAGCTGGATCAGGGGGCTTTTTCAGTTTGGATGAGCAAGACGTTGAGCACGGTGGATCGCGCCTCATGCGTTAATGGAAATCAGGATCAATTGACCCCGACGGAATATTTTCCTCATGAATTCTTGGAAAGACTGTTTTACATATGCTCTTGCTTGTTGTGTTTCTCATTTAAGATTGACTAAACTTTAGTAGTAATCGAAAGATTTCTACGTGGACACGATTTAGTTTATTCGCTGAGTAGCCAATTCATGGAAATAATCCTCAACTGTTTTCCGACATTGTGAACTGGCGAACATACAGTACAGTTCTATTACAGAGTAACTACTGAGGTTGTTAGCTGTTGCAAGGATGTGCTAAGCTTCTGTAGGAAGAGTGGCCATGGAAAATAATCTTGTCCGAGAATGTATTAAATTTAGTGTTAAAGCAGAATGCTTGCATTTTATTTCAATTATTATTATTGTTATTATTATTATTATTATTATTATTATTAGTTGTTTCAAATGAAATAAACTTTCTTAACCAAAAAGGTTTACCCGACCGGCTGAGAGAAAGACTACGACCAAAGCGCCGAATGAACTGCTCACTTACTCAGAACTAAGAAAACTTCCCTTTACGGCTTTCGTAATGCCTGTTTCAAATAAAATAAGTTAACAAGATGAAAATAAATGAATGAATAAATAAATAAAACCTGTATCCGTGCAAAACAACAGTTGAGCCTTCCTTTAAAATTTTTGTTGTTTAAATAGAATTGGCCAAGAGATTAGTCAGTCTGATAATTAAGAGAGATTTTTACCTTTTATTCTCATTTTCTAGGGCTGGACAGAAATTAACAAGAATTATGGTTTAGACGCATTTCGATTAGCAGTTAAAATCTAAATTCCCAGATGTTTTCATTTGACGTACCATATTTCCCGGAAAGTGATTTTGAGTGACGTGACTGACGACATTGTCATGTAAGGGTCACAGAAAACAAAGTCAAAAGAAACATTTGAAAGTTCATCTTAACAATATTTTATTCACGATCGCTACAATACAAGATCAGCTACGCCATGAGCTTTACACAGAAAACTAAACCCGAGTTGTTCCCTACTCATGTGATAATTTTGACAATTTTTGCAGCCTGTCTCTTTAAAAATGTAGTCAAGTGATAATTCTGACATTTTTTGCAGCCTTTCCATTTAAAAATGCAGTCAATTAGACAAAAAATTATTTACCAGCGAAAAAATCGACATTTTCTTCACTGACTTCCATGTCTTGACACGTTTTGCAGTCAGATTTTCTTTCGATCATCATTGGGTACCACCTTAGAATTGCAGGCTTGTCAAACCTCTGGAAGCCATCTGCTGGGTACCCTGCAAACTGCTGCTCTCTGCGATTTGCCCACATGTAGAATGGTGCTTCTAGGTCGGTCTCCAAAGTCGCCAATGCGCTGTCTTTTCCGCGGCACAGCTCCACCAGGGCTAGCTTCACCAGCATGTTAGAAATGGGAATGATATCTGAAGACAGCCCGACCTGAATCGTGGCTTTTACTTCATCATCGCCGACGTATGGTGGATTAGCCTCGCGCGCTTGGCGGAAGGATGACATCTCCTCCGCAGCTGCTTCCATCGACGCGTCGGCATAAATGCATGAGAAGCATGGGCCAACTTTGGGCCTAACTCGCAGCACCTCACCTCCGGCAGCTCTAACAGCACATTTTCCATAGAGGGATGGAATACCCAGCTCTATTGACAAGGTGTTTATGTTAAGCCGGCTCCTGATATTGTCGGTGGCAGCAATAATAAGGTCGCATCCTTGGAATATTTTTCTAGCCTCTTCTGCATTGTTGATGTTGGTATTGAAGATCTCCACCTTAGCAAATGGGTTCTTATCCAGAACACGGTCTCGCATGACATTGGTCTTTAAGCGCCCTAGATCGCTTAGGCCACAGACATGGCGGACGATGTTATGAAGCTCAAAGCGATCGAAATCGACCAGCACAAACTTGCCCACTCCAGCCTTGGCAAGTTCTATAATGACAGGAGAGCCACCACTTCCGAGGCCAACAACTGCAACCTTACGGTTCTCTAAAAGACTCGACTCCAATATGCCGTGACTTCGAGAATAGAGCTGGGCCTTTCGTGGTTGGCGCAAGACAGCCGCTTGCTCTAAGGATTCGGAAGACTTCGGTCGTACGCAAGCTCTAACGTGATCGTCTTCGGAAACCAGGATTGCAACCTGCGGCTCATCAAGCGCTGGAAGGCTGGAAATCAAACTGCTACAAATGTCGACGATTTCCGAAGATGCGGGTAGATCTTTAAAGACCTTGAATGCCACTCTCTTTTCGGGCCCAGCTTGAGAAGATTTACTATCACGGAGAACCCGGACATGGATGGTATCGCAGTCATCAAAGACTGTCACGGTAAACTTCTTTTTACCGGCTTCTCCGCTTTTTAGTACATCAGTAAAATTGGGCTGAAGAAAGCAAACAACTTTGCGTTGATCTTCTATCTCATGCATTGTGCTTAATGATGATGAGGGAAACTGATCTGAAAAAGATTTTGAGTTGCTGCTGGAAATAAACAGGAAGGTATTTGTTCTTGGAAACTCCATCAGCAATCTGATTGGTACTTTGACACAAAGGGAATAAATAAGCCATTTTTAGTTTCTTGGAAACCAAGTGTTTATTACCCTGTCACGCATTCTAAATTCTTGTTTTTACCTTTATAATACTTATGGGTTTAGAATCCATCTCAGTATATGCTCTCAATTTTTCCAAAGACGATGCAAATCGACAGCCGTATTCATTCAGGTACTAACTACTTTTGTAAAGGAGAGAAAGAAGCCATGAACTTCCTATTTCATTTTTGGTTGCGGCGGTCTTTCTTGATTTCATCGAAATATTTCTTAAGCCAAAATAGGCTAGAACGACTGAAGGACAACAGCAAAGAAATACGCATTAAAAGTAGGATTAACAGTGTCTTTACATCTCGGCTTGGACTATATTAAGTACTACGAGATAATTTTCTCTGAATTCTATCCTAGAGATCACCCAGTTTCCAGTTTCTACAAACGAATGTCACACTTCAAAATATTGCAGTAACGTTGAGTGCAGTACTTAACATCTTCCTCACAAAGTGCCATCCAGTACAAGAAGGCTCGGAGCTAGTAGAAAAAAGCCTTGTTGAACCATTTCAGTCATAATTTGTCGATCAGGATTTTTTTCCGCTTCTTTTTTAGGGGTAACCTCCAACTGCCCAGTATCGTAATTCATCGTTGTCGTAAATTCCGGATAGCTTTCAGGGTTTTTTGCAAATTCTTGATATGTTGGCTTCCACGGGACAACTTTTCCCAGTTTTTCATCAAAAACCATTCTTTGGCTTGAGGCCATATGTACCATCAAAGCAAAAGGTCCATTAATCCATCTAAATCCAAGAAAAACCGTTAAGGTTTGCACTTGTGTACTCAGCAGCATGTGCTTAAATAATGAAACGGAAAGGCACCCGAGTGAGACTAAGTACTGAATTGGAAGACTGGGTAGTGGGAAGTGAGGTGACTTGTTGTGCACTGAATTTGGGCAAGAATTTGTTGATCCTGTGAATTGGTCCTGCTCATATTGTTATTATCAGGGTCATCGTCCAGAATACTATTGTCTTTTGCGACATGAGAGTAAGGTAACTGGAACAATTTTTTTACTCAGTGTGTATGCCAAAGCTGCTATTCTTTGCCCAGTTTTCTGTCAACGCTCTTTCCTCTCCTCTCTGCAAATATCATTTACATCCGTTTTTTCCAAGAAATGTTTACTTCAGATATTTTCTAAAAATACATTGAAATGACAGCTTCATTTAATTGACATTATCATCAGTTCCTCTGGCATTAAGCAATCTTCATTTGAATGCACACATAGAGCGTTAATCTATATAGTTCAAAGCGAATTTCAACTGATTGATTCATTTTCTTTTGTTCTTCCAATAAATCTTCAAAGATTTCAGCGGTTTCTTTTATTGATTATAGCTTTTGAAGCTAAGAAATGAATTGCAGAACAAGAATTTAACCCAGCTTAAATATGTGCAAATGTTGCAAATGATTTAACTTAAATGAAAACGATTCTAGGTTAGTGATAAGTTAGTTTCGCCACTGACTCTGGCTTTTATTATACCATATCTTTCGACTTAACTCCAAAAACACACTAAAACCGCTTCTGTGAGCGTGTTCAAATGAATAGTCACTGCATATGTGGCAAATATTTTTCAAGATCTTCTCCAGTTTGTAGATGAATTTCATAAGCTTCCAACCATAAGCGGCCTTTCATCAAAATCTGATAAAGAGTGTTATGGCTCATCCATTGACCTGAATTAAAGTGACAAATTTGTGTCAAACCATCGTGGGCGCCGAGTGTGTGTTGTGCCCCGCTTGAACTGTTAAGGAGTGAGCCATTCTTTCTCTTCAAAAGCGATGAGGGAGAACTTACAACCATTATGAGGCACTGATCTGGAAAATCGTTTGGGATATAAACTCATAGAGTATAGCCTTTTCCGTTGTTTGTGTTGACTCGCCATTCAACCCTTGTATTGCCCTTCGATGTGGGATTAAACCAAGACACATTCTTCAGTTTTTTCTCCAAAATACCTTTCTCCATGCCAAGTCTTCCCTGTTGCTGTGAACTCCAACTCATTTTCACCGTTAAGCCCTCAGGTATATTTTATGTTCGTTCTCTAAGTGTAGCTAAAGTCTAGCCAGCGTTACCACTCTCATAACGGAGCTCGTAAAGGGAGCCAATCAGCTGGGCGCTACACACAAAACATACTTAATTACCATCTGACTGATTTCTTGGAATTGATGGAATAAAGACAGTTGACCCTTCCTTTCTAAATTAGGCAATAGAAACCGATCTGCGTGTTATGCTTTTCATTTGACAACTGCATGCGCACGATTGAAAATGCTTCAAGGATGAGAATGACTCCTGTATTAATAACATATTTTTTGCTTGACATGTAAAAATAAACGAGTAAAAGGAATTTAAGACCAATTGTATAATTACTTCACATACTTGGTAAGTGATTGACAATTCTGCGACAAAACAAGGCCTTATTCTAGCTTTAAATAAGATTTTCTGAGAAAAAAGGATACGCCAATATATTTGAGGAGTAATTGTATAGTCTTTTATGAGAATTCGTCGTGGCGCAGTCTCTTATAATTAGCTAAGCGCAATAAGCATAGATTGATATTTAGTCAGATACAATTTCTGACATTAGAGGTACTCAGTATTGACTATTTAAGAAAAACCTTACTCATTTTTAGGAAAAAAAAGGAACCATTTAAATGTCAACAGACGAAAGTTACTCTTGAGAGTTTATTAATAAATCATTTTACAATGACTTGCAACCCTTCAGGAAGAATCGCCCCATGTTAGGGAATCCAAAACAAGACAGTCCTGGAGTTTGAATTCCAAGCCGTGAAATCCGGATTCCAGGCACTGGATTCCGGGTTCTCTGTCAGCAGAACTTGGATTCTGGATTCCAATCTTTAGTGGGACTGCGGATTTCACAAGCAAAAATTTCCCGGATGCTGGAATCTGGATTCCCTTACACGGGGCTAGAAGGTATCACTGCTTCCTTACACAGATGTAATTATATCACCTATAATTAGTATTATATTGGTACATCAAGACGATATCCGCTCAAGTTCTAAAGTTCCTTGCTTTCTATCTGATGATTAAGCCGGTTTGTTCTTTTTCTGTTATGTTACTTTCGAAGGATGCCGAGTTTGAATCATTGACATTTATTCTATGTCCTTTGTAAAACCGTAAAAGTCCTTACCAAAGTTTAGCGATCAGATTTCGCAACCGCCTCAAGCTTCCCAGTTAGTGGATTAAACATTAACTGATATTCAGAATGTGACTGTTCATTTTCGAGATATTCTTTGACTGTTGGGGGTCTTTCTTCAACTGCCAGTCGCCCAGATTTCTGAATTACTTCAAGCTTTTCACTGAGAGGATTGAATATCAGTTGATACACCAAGTACTTCTCTTTGCTTTTCAAATACTCTGCAACTGTTGGGAATCTTTCATCGAGCAGTTTTCCAGTTCGGGAATCAAACACCCTTTTCCCGTTCCTATTTAAAGCCATGCTACATTTCTGGTGCATGGATACCGTGTACGTTTGCTGATTAGCTGACGTATAGCATTTTGAGTTCCTTGTCAAGCTGTGTCAGAAGATTTCAAGTAATCGTCGCTATTTTCTGAGAAAGCCGGTACACCAAACTGGAAATATAAAAGCCGTATTTATGATCTATTTATTGACGCTGTAATGCTAGTGTCACGAAACCTTCAAGATTGTGCTTCTGAATCATGAGAGTTTGTTTGAAACATTTTCCGTCGTATGTGGCATTAAAGCCGAGACAAATATAATGGCCTGCGTTAGCGAGACTGCATTTTACTCCTCTTATCAAGGAAAATCCATGAAAAACTCATATAGAGAAGGATTTGGGAGGTAGAAAAAGCAACCCTCAAGGTTGGCGTTAGCCTCAATTCCTCGCAATTTTTGAAATTCAACATGACGGTTACGCGAACGGAGGAGAACGCCTGCAATGCAGGCTAACAAAAAAAAAACGAAACCTCTTTAAAATGTCCAGATTCTTAGACAGGGCAGACCCCAGCTCCTGATTCATTATGACCAAACACAAACTCAATATTTTTACCATTAAAAAAAAGGATTAGGTGCCTTGTGTGCTTCATGAAACATCTCCAAATATCTTTTCTCGGTCTGCTTTAAGACAAACTCTGCAAATTTTGGCTAAACATAAGAAGTCAAACCCTTTGAAAAAATTCCTGATGGCCCCTTACAATGGCGAAACTTCAATTCATATTTCATAGACCAAGAATCAATTTTTGCATCAATTAAATTTTGTTTTAATTGTTCACAGTTCAATCTAGAATCAAAGTAAGCACTCGGCTTTACAAATGTGAAAAATAAAAAAATTACGCAAACAAAACTAAAATTAGAAAACTGGAAACTAAAATTGATTGTACACTTACTTCTCTGACTGCCTCCTGAACTGTAAAGGGATAGCTCAAAAGAGGTGAGCTCGCGCAACAAAACTTTTAACATTTTTAATACTTTCAGATATTTATTACCTACAGTACTGTTGAAAGGATAAGGTCATTTGCGGTAGTTCATGATTTTTATTCATTTTTGTGGCAGTTTATGTTATGTCTATGTTACTGAGTTTTAGATTCCCATTGCACCGACACCGGCTTATCACGTATGGCGTCAAATCTGGCAGCTGAAGAAATACAGTAAAAACCCGCATACAAGAACCTAGTGATTTAAAAACCTACAGGCTGGAAGTTGGCATTTAAATACCCAAAAATATAAGAACCTGTCCAGCCATTGTGCATTTTCTTGTAGATATGTTCTTCCACGGGAAATTCTGGACCTTTTACAGAGATAATAGAATGTCTATAATTTGTAAATTAATAGGCTTTTTATAAAGGTGCAAATCTTCCTCTCTTTCTCACAGAAGAAAACAAAATGTCTGTAAAATCATTTTTGTACACATTTCATGAAGTTTTTTAAAATAATTATATTGAGAATGGTTATGAAAAGTCTGTAAATTTTTGACCTTGATTGCTTTATCATCTGAGCCATGCAGATAACAAACACCCAGTTTTGTCCATGTGAAAAAAAAAAATATATATCCAATAATTAAGAAAATATAGAAATATAAAATACATTTATACTCTAGAATGTATATGGATGTAGTCCTTAGGTCTTGTTTTTCTTCATTTTACACATATGTAGTTCAAACACCCAGTTTTTTTTTCATGCATGTGTACACTCATGTCCCTGTGAGATTTATCAGTCAAGCTAGAACAGTAACTAAGTATGAATATAATTCTGCTTATTTCTGTACTTTAAACATGTTACACTTCAGGGATTTTGTGTTTTTTGATTTATTTGTTGTTTATTCTACTTTAAAACAAACTAAATTCTTGAATTCGTATTTTTATTTATTTATCTTTTTGCCATTCACTTTTTTTATTATTTTCTTTTATTTCAATTACATGATGTACGTAACTTACATAGCCCAAAATGTTTTGTTCTGCATGTATGCAAGCATTTTTGTAGTTTAAAACACAAGTGCTATATATTTGTAGTAGAATATTTCTGCCAATGGTTATACCAAGACAACCTCTAAAAAATAAAAACCTATTAAGAACCTAATCAGCCTGACCTAGAATATGCGGGTTTTAACTGTAATCATTACAGCTAAATTTTGGCAAGGAATAAAGAAAGCTTTCCGAGAGACAAATTTTGAGATTTTGTGGCAAAGGCAGGTTTTTAAAAATCCGAGAAAACACTTTGGTATCAAATGCATTTCATCATATAAATCTATCAATCAATCCATTGATCAGTGAAGCAAAATAATATCTTTATTTTGATCCACAAGCAGTAATGGCTACATACGTATTATGATATTACGATTTTATTAAATAGAGGAGCCGGACTGTCAACAATCCCTGTTATTTAGCATGCCGGTTTGTAGTCTGCTACTCCTTTTTACACCGACAAACACTATTCACTTACTTTACTATCATAGTGTAGACCGAGATAACATTTTTCTAATACATTTCTCAAAAACACCACTTGATGGTTGCTTAGGAGTTTTCCAAACATGAGGACAATTTTCTCTAATGTCTACAGCCATTAATGCATCGTAATACCAGTACTAGACAGGCAAGTTAACTAACAGCGATGGAGAGTTTTATTTTAAAGCTTCCACGGAAACATATCAGTACACACTATAACCACCTCTCATCTTAACTGCTAATAGGCAGTCAAGTTAAAGTTAAAAAGATACAACATTGAAATTTAAGAAGGGACAAACACAGTATATAAAATATAGTATACCAGACAGTACATGTATATAATTTAGCATCGGTTCCTTGTATTTGGGCTCCCGGGGGTTCTCCCTATAATGGCCTATACCGTGAGGCTGCGCCCGAAAGGAGTCCCTTTATCAAACTTTTTAGCTTCAGGTATATGAAGGGGTAGGTAATCCCCGGAGCACTGACAAGTAATTACAAAAAGAATTGCCTTCCACTGCAAGGTTGTTTTCTATAGCACTGTGCAGAAAGGGCAGCGACGTGTAAATTCGTATATCCATGAAGTATTACCAGCTATATTTTCATTCGGTGTCGGCTCGTCTTTCATTTGAGATATGAGGCGTTTCTTCCGGCACATAACCGGCCGAATCGAGAGCTGACTCGACTCGACTGACTGGTCTGCAGTAATGCGAGATATCTCTTCTTTTCCGTTAATGGTCTCAGAACCTTCTTTCAAATCTGTTTGGAATTTTCCACGGAGAGGACTCTCATTTGGCAGCAGGTGGAATTGTCCTTGGGTCATACGCTGACTCTGATCGGCAGTTCCTCTTTCAAACAAAAAGCAACCTACACTAGCTGCAGAGTTGTCTTGCGTCTCAATGTTGGCAATGAATAAGACAAAGCGATTGAGGCCGTACTTCGGCATGTTTCTCCAGACTGTTTCTCTATCTCCGCCACTAGGTTGCTTAAGACCAATTTTGTGATGGGAATGCCACTCGCCAATGTGGCAAACCCCTTCCTTTTTAATCAGTTGTGACCCAGCCTTTTCCATGTAATCTACGTCTTGATAGAAGGAGGCGGATGCCCTTTGACAGTTTTTCCCAGGACCCAGTACAAGCTGAACCACAGCAGTGTGGTCGTCTTTCCACAGACCGAACAAATCGCCACCAGTCTCAAGGTATCCGTGCTGTAAAACCCATGCGCATATTTGTCTGTACTCATTGGCATATATTACCACTTTAAATGTTTTGTCGTCTCTTTGTTCGGACATTCTGGCTCTTCTGTTTTCAAAGACCGCCTCGATTTAATTCATTAATGCCGATAAAACCAGTTCGCGTTGTTTTTATCGAAAAAGAGAATGGTCATGGCTTGTTGAGTTTGTTTATGCCGTTGAAATTCCTAGAAATTCATTGTAACAATCATTCAAATCAATATATTCCATATGACAGCTGTCTTTTCCTTTCTCAGGCGTTACTATTATAGTTTCTCGGAAATCGCCAACCGTGGATCAGATCCGCACCGTCACACAACTTCAAACTGCCCAAATATGGCGTGCCATAATGCCCAGTTATTTGGAAATAAAAGTGTGAACAGTTCCACTTAATTTTTTAAAATAGTGGAAACAGGGATTTTGTACCCGAGTAGCGTACACATTATTGATACCCTTGACCGCAGTAACAAATAATTATATATTAAATATTCTTTGAGAAAGAGCAGAAAGCAATTTTGTTTATTCAGTTTAATTAACATGTTGAGCTTTGTTGTATTTCCTTCCAGTTTACAGATAAATCTCTCCACAAATTTCTTTAACTGAGATGAGTTCGACTCACTAGCACTTTAGGCATAAATAAGAGAAAAGCTGAAGAAACATATTTGCCTTCTGGCTTTACTTTTGATTAAAGGGCTTTATCATACATTCATACCATTTAGGCCAAACTTTTTATAGGAACAAATGGGGTACCGGAATATGTAAATTGTTTAGGAATTGATTATTTTTACTACAATGCTCTCCTTTCAAGAAGGGACGTTGAATCGTCACTCTGTCAGATTTAGGTCCTTCGTCTTTCTGCATTAATGACAATCTCTCTTGACCCTCGGAGGGATATCATCTGAAGTGACTGGTCCCCGTCGCTTGCGACTTGGCGGCACTACAAATCCCGGTCGCGTCACGTCTTTCTCCGTTTCTTCGGCTGTTTTTTCTTGAAGAAGAGACACTTCCTCATCACTGTTCATGTCCTCAGAACCTTTCCTTAAAACGTTTAAACTCTTTGAACGGAAGGGACTTTCATTTGGCAACAGGTGAAACGTTCCTTGCATTACAGGTAACTTCCGGTTAGTTTCTCCATCGAATTCAAACAGAAAGCATCCGATGCTGACTGCACTTTGCTGTTCTATGTTGGCAATGAATAACAGGAAGCGGCGCAGGCCGTACCGAGGCATGTTTCTCCATACTGTTCCTTCGTCTCCACCGCTCGGTCGATTGAGACCGATCGTGTGGTGTGAGTGCCATTCTCCAATGTGACAAACTCCTTCCTTCTCGATCAAATGGGAACCAACCTTTTCAAGATAATCCACGTCTTGGTAGAACGAGTGCTCAGCACGTCTGCAGTCTTTCCCTGGACCCAGTGCAAGCTGTACTACAGCGGTCTGGTCACTGGACCACAAACCGAACAAATCACCGCCTGTCTCAAGAACTTCGTTCTTTAAAACCCAGGCACATATTTGTTTGTACTCATTGGCATATATTGCCACTTTAAATTCTTTGTTTCCTTTCTGTTTAGACATCCAGAGAAAGCTTTAGTTGCCAGAGAATTGTAGATAAAAATACGTCGACGAAAGTAAGAAATATGATAACTTTTAAGAAAGATGTTAATGTTCAATCCGGAATTTCTTAGAAATCATCGTACTGTATCAATTAAAGATGCTTGCTACAGTTCAGCGATCTGCACTTTCTTCTTGACCAAGCGTGGCGTATTTCTTGGAACTAACGGAAGAAGACGCACACTACTGGTCACGTGAATTATCATTTGAAAACACAAATAGTCGGATGTTGGGGGTGGGAGGGGGCCTTCCTTGGGGTTTCTGTTGTGTTTAAAATAAAAATAATAAATCTGGAACAACACGTTAACCACTTTATTATCTTGCCCTACAAAAATACATCATGGATATATAAAGATGAAATTTTGTACTTTATTGAAATCAGATTAATTGTAGTGTATTGAAATTCTTTCCCAATAGCACGTGACGAAGGTAAAAAAATGCTCAATATATATTAAGCATTTATTGTTTAGTTACCATATCTATATTGCTAAATACATGTGTTTTTATCTTTGTTTTTTGGCTACTTGGAAGGAATCTTTTAGAATCTATACTTCCCATCTTTGAATATGATTACGTCAGTAGTGACTGTTTTTTTATATCATTAGAGAGCTTCGTACGTCAACCGGAAGTGGACGTTTTGCATTCTTGGCCAGTGATTTTGCCCAAATTCTCGGGTAAATCGTCTCTTAAAGGGTGAAGACACTTAGAAATACAAATTTAGTTGCTTCAAGGCAAATAAGTAGGGAAAAAGCCTCACTTCCGGTGGAAGTCCGTCGCTCAAAAAACAACTTTGCCTAAGCTCCCAGTAATATTGTTAACTACAACGTAGTCTATGTGCAAACATGGAAAACATAGTCCCTGAAAGATCCAGTCGAGCCAACTTAAGCGAAAATGGTGCAGTACAAATTGAGCTGAAAAGAAAAATGGCAGTTACAAAACAAAATCATGAATGGTAAAATTTAACTGCTTCTCAAGAAATAACAAGAAACAAGAAGTGTCCAAGTCACACGTTTTGAATAGTACTACTGCGAAGGGTAATATTGATGTTGGAGAAAAATCTTCCAAATGCCTCGAACAACGGATTGTAGAAGCTCTTCACAATAGACATCCAGAGTTTTCCCGCTAGCCCGAATAAAATGAACCAAGCACGAACAAATGGTGTGACAAGCCAAACAAAAAAGAAGCTTATCACTCCACACGACAAACCATAGATAAACGATAACGGTCCGCCAAACAGCAGCGTCAAAATGCTATACGTCAAATTAGAGGTATTGGCATAAACGGCTTTAGTGAACTGGTACGAACACTGAGGACTATGTGTTGCAGGGGGCTCGCATATCACATCTGAATAGGCAACCTACAAATAAGAAAACAGAATTTACCTGTAATTTCTTTGACTAAGGTAAAAGGGATCTCTATACGAACGAAAGCAATAGCAATGCACGTTTACTTTTAATTAGAAAATGTACGTCCCTTTTTTTAGGATTTCCTGTCCTTTATAAAGTCTGGCTTCTGACGTGGAATCACCGGCTGGGGTGTCCCAATTTTTTTTTTATTTTTTAACTAAACTGCGACCGGTCCACAAACACATTCTCCACTGTAAATTTATAAGATAACTGTTCGTTGCTAACTGTTCGTCTCACGATGGTCACTTTCTCATTGAACGTGATCCTTGGTTGCTAGTAATCGGCTTGATTAGGCGATGGTGTGCAGGACAATTAGCAACACTGTTGATACTAGAGATTTGTGCATTACGAACCTCACTCATGGCTGGTGGACATCACCAGAGACCACAATTTGTAACGACACGCCGGGAATTTCTACTATGGAACGACTTTGGAACGGCTTTGATTCAGACGCCGAACTTTTTCATGTAGCGAACCTAATGCATAAATTATAATAACATATTTTGCAAGCAGTTTCACCAAATTGAGTATTTTTCTCCTTTTGAATTAAGTTCGACTGGAATTAAGATCGGCGTCTTAATCAATTCAGGTGCTCCAAATAGTTTGGGTCGGCCTTAATAGGCCATTTGCACTAAGCATGACTAAGAGGTCATGTGACATCATTTTTATGAAATGGGTCATACCTTAAACAAAATAATAGTGATTTGGTTTTTCAAACCCGCACCATTTTCTTAAAATGAGTAAGTTCGTAGCTGGGCACGTGACCAAAATTTGATTTTCAAAATTATGAATTGCCTCTTTCTGAACACAAATTTTACACTAAACTTTAAGGAAAATGTTGAAAAGATGATGTGGTAACATTTACAGCACATCTAAGCGTAACTATCAAACGTTTTACACGATACAAGCAAAATGTAGTCTTATTTCAGCACACATCTTTACAGCTAGAACGAAACCATAACTTATTCACAGAAACAAAAATGCCTTAAGTATTTTGTCTTACCTGAATATAGTCATTGTTGCCCCGTGGATCCCTGTCATCCTGAAAATCTTCCTGTGTTGGTTGACTCTTCATGTCTAACTCAGGCAAAAGACGTCTTGACTCAAAAGTCGATGAAGCCTTATAAAAGAGATTTTCGGCAGGACACATCAACAATGGAGCTAAGCCTTAATACAAAAGAACTGCGACTTATACATAGGCCCGTGGGCTCAAGGAAATTTTAACGTTGTTACAATCCGAAACCAAAATCGACATATTGTCCCGTGCCCAGCTATGCGCTATTTAACGCTTTCACTTTTCTTGTGGCTTGTCTCAAGGTTTCCCAAACTAATGGGAGTAATTAAGTGAACAGGAACATATTTATAGCTCAGACAGATCAGACTCCACACGCAAAGCAATTTGAAGTTTTGTACTGATTAATTTGCTTTAACTCTCGAAAACGATCTTTTCAGTTTATCTGAATCGACTTAAAAGTGAGCTAAGTTACCGTAATTTCACTTTCATCTGGGTCACGCCAATTGAAGATATAGTTCCATTGAGCGCTTAACAATTACGATCATAGAATTAACAGGATTTTGAATGGCAGCTTGATCATGAAACCGTAAAAAGGAAATGGAAAGAACTACAACAAAACCAAAAGTGGGCAAGGGACGAGTAAAGCTGGAAAAGATTGAAACGGATGGCGTTGGGTAAACTTTATTACGAGAAGAGATTATGGGAGTCAATGCTGCTACAAAGCACTGTCTTGGGGTCGGGGGGTACCTCCTATGATGGCCCCCCATAGGTTGGCTTCACCCGAAAAGGGGTACCTTTTTCAGGCTTCAGGTATATGAAAGTGTAGGGATTTCATTCCTTGAACTATATGAAAGGGCAGGGAAATCTGTAATTTCGGTCTGTAAAAAGGCCCAATTGTGCTAACAGATGCATTTAACTGTGAAAAAGTCTGAAAAAAGTTCTAGACGTTCTGGTCTATGTTAATTATTTCATATGTTAAAGACAGTGATGTAAAGAGATGCCAAGTTCTAAAAGAGGTGTTTGAAGTACCCCGGAGGTCTTAGGGATTGTCTGAAAACATAATAATGTATCTTAATCAGCTGTCGTAACTGCTCTTAGCGAGAAAAAAAGTGAAACTGATCACGCTGAATGAATACTACCACAACTACTCCGTGAAAAAAAAAAAACTTAATTACATTTGTAAATTGTAATTAGAAAACTGAAGGAGTATAAGGGTCAAGTATTTGTAATCTTAATAAAAGCCAGCGCGACTTAACTTTACGAAACGACATTTATAGGTTAATTAAGAGATGTTTCGGTTTTAATGTTGCAACAGTTTCAACACTGAGAACATAACATAACATAACATCAGTAACACAAAGGGTACTAAAATAGTGTCACATTCTGTTCTGTGCCACTACAAGCAGCCATCGCCCCAAGCACATAAACTCATTGGCTGGGAAGGTTATAACCAGAACTACAATAGTTCTTCAGCTTTTCGACTTTACTTTCGGTTCCATAACTATCATAGTCAAAGTCCAAATGCATGTGCTTACAGGGACGGTCCGGTCGCGCTTTATACAACACTGTACCTGAAATGAGGGGTAGGGAAGAAGATCATGAAGGCTAACAGTGTTTTCAATCTCCCCAACACTATTAAGGTTAATGCTGATAGGTTCGATAACCCTAGACGAGAATCCAAATTTTGTCAATAAAATATTTCGGAAAACAGTGCTTGCGTTTTATTTTAGTGCAAAGTAAAGTTATATTCGTAGGTAGAAAGACCTAGAAATGCTCCAAGATCTCCTTGTGCTTGTTTTGTTTAATCTATGGAACTTTTTAACAGCTTGAGCAGCATGTACTGACATAAAATATGTTGTTTAGCATTTATTTTACCTTGAAAAATTCATTATTGTCCCGCGAATCCCTCTCCTGTGTGTTTCGTAGTATGGGCTGACTAGTCATGTCTACTACGCAAGCAACGTCTTGGCACCAAAGCCTTGAAAGATCCTTTTCCCCGCACGGCGATAGTGAAAATGTGTCAACTACTGACACCGTGGTATATATTAAGTCTTGAGACTTACACACAGTATGAGGGCATAACAAAAGTAAAACGTGCGTTCTGATTGGTGAATCAGAACCAGTTCCCGATTTGGTGAATTTGCCCATTTAATTGCTATTTAGCAAATGCTGACGAACGCGACAGCGCATTCTAAGCCATAAGAGTCATTTTCTACGTCACCAAAAATTGTCATTTACCTCAATGGGTTTTGTCTTAAAACTGACTAGAGATAAAGTGTACAAACACCGTTAACGATAACTAAAAATGTTTTTCAATCCATGTTGGGAAAGAGAACAAACAGAATCGACAGGGACAGAGGAAAAAAACGATATAAAATAAAACAAATGGTTAAAGTCGTAGCTGTGCAAGCATCGAGCTACAAGAAGCAAGAGTTGTTCTCAGCGACGACTCGAGCACTAGTCGTACGCTTCTTTCGTGTTAAGCAGCCTCCAGCGTACATCCATGACTCGATGGTCGGCGCGCGATGCACGTTTACCGTTTCCTGCTTATATTGCATGGTGTTACGTGGCCAGCCATGGGCTAAAAGTGTTGATTTGCTAGTGGAAATGTACCAATCTGCCAATCAACGGTGGTTTTGAATGTCAAACGTGCGACTGTGTCCTTAATGTTTCTGTCCCCACGGCAATGCATTGCTTCTCAGTCTGGTGGTGCTTGGCCTCAAAAGCCCCCCGGTCTGAACAGGGTTAAATAGGACAAAGCTGTTCACTGAATGCAACTTATGATCTTTTTCAACTTTGATAAACTTTCCTAGTTTCCTGGTAAACATTAGCTGTCTATTTAGCGCGCGTCGTGTAATTAAATTTAATCTCTGTCTCTGTGTACACTGTCGGAAACACCATACAAGTCTTGTAATTACACGCGATAATGCGTTATTCAGATCACTCCTCTTAAAGAAATCTTATTCCAATAAGAACTGATTTATGCGCTACATATTGCCTCAAAGTTAATTGACAATCATAAATTGTTTGTAGGTCATAAGCCGTTTGCTCTTATTTTTATCAATAGTGGATCGCGGAGCTCTGGGTACGAGGCGTTTTGCGAAACACCATGGGTAGGAAAATCTTGTCACCTACCCGGATGTGAAATGATGATCTAAAAGATTTCTTGTCTTTATTATACAACTTCAGAACTGTAGTGACATGAACAGCTTCAAGTCTGAGTACATTTCAATTGCGTCATTTCAATAGAATACGGTTAAAATTGCCCATGGGAAAAAAAAGTGACAACTTGAACCCGGTTTCAAGGTAAAAAGTCCTTGTAAACTTCCCAAACTAACGGTATCTTAAAACGATTTCAATCATTTTTACCCTTACAAGCAAAAACTCTACATCAGTTACTGGCTAAACTAACCGCGCACCTATTGTCTGTTATAAGGCTGCAAAATCTACTTGGCAGCAGATTTTCTTACCGGCACTGTGATTCGTACGGGCCTAAAGGAGCTCATGTCTTTGCTATAAACTTAAGTTGCAAGACATGAAACTTGTGTTTTGTTTCACAAGCACTTTATTTTGATTATCAAAGTCAGAAACAATCCAAGAAAACTTTTGTTTATACTTTCTTGTCGTCCTGGGCAATAATTTCAATTTCTTGCCAAACTGTGACCAGTACAGGATCTATTTCTATCCTGAGCACCGCATGCGCCAACATCTAATGGGGAGCAGGAATGCCAGCCAACCGGACACTGTTTCCATAAATGGAAAATTCTACGGCTTCCATCGCTACAAGTACATTACAAAAGTCACCATTATCTTCTCTCCAGAACTCGCTTTGCCTTATATCAAGAATCCTACTAAGCTTTCTACTGTGAACGTGTCTCTTTGGGAAGCTCCCAGGTTTGACTCCTACTCTGAGTAATTTCTTTAGACCATTTCCAAAATGTAGTGAGTATGCCTAATATATTCCAATTTATCTTGTTTAAATTCTCTTTGTTGTCGGCTTTTTCCACGACAACATTATTGGAATAAGGTCTTTAAATTTTTATAGGAAAGAATTTTTTATAGGAAAGAAGAGTACTGCTGAAGAAGATTCTGTTTTAATTAATGATCAGATTCAAAATGGATGATTGTTGCGTGACAGAAGATCAAAATTGGAAACTGCAAATCCTACACAACTGCATTCATGAACATGACCCAACTAAAATTTCATTAAGACTCAAAGTTTACTCCAAAGTTTACTCTTAATTATTTTTTTTCTTCTTGGAAAGAACTTTTGAATACTTGGTAGCATGTTAACTCTGTCATTCATTCATAACTTTGTTCCAAAAAAATTTAAGCCAAAAACAATGGACTGAAAAACAAAAGCATTCACAGGAAAATTACCCTGTTCATCTCCCTCCAGGATCCCATTTTCAAGCAAACAACCACCCCCCATAGAAAGCCTTGCGAGCAAAGATTCGGTACTAAAAAATTGTACACGGGGGAAATCATGTTCGTAAGTGCAGTTCCTAACGCGGAAAGTAACAAGGACCTCGTTGTGGATAATCCAAATTTATGAGCAAAATAATCCAAACTTCCATCCTTCAATTATACCATTGTAAGCCTAATGTACAGCAGATGTACACATTGTAAACAGAATATTTTTTACAAATCAAATGTTGCTGGACCTATCGAAGTGTAGCTCCAAGACGGTATTAGCGTTTTAATGAAAACACTCTCACATTTTCTCATTCGACAGTTCGGATAAAACTCAAATTTCTGTGACATACAAAGGTGTACTAATGTACAACAACAATGAAATGTGGAACGATGGACAAAATGTCGTTTTGAACTACGCTCTTTAGCTTACGATTCACTAGGTACAAGACAATTTTCACAGCAAGACAATGGCTAAGAGTAATTCTTTACCTTCTTTATAATTGGGACACGAGATTAACTTGAACCAAGCGTAAGCTTATTTTTCTGCCATAAACAGCGTAAACATGCGGAGATTAACCCATTCGCTCCTGGAGATTTTGCCGAAAAAAGGGTTTTGAAGCTAGTCGAGAGGTTTTCTGGTCACTGTCGTGCTATAAAGAGCTAAAACTTACCACAAACCGGTTTACAGGTCGTACACTTCGCGGCCTTCAGATGCAAAATATCAGCTTGCGAAGTTCGGGCATGCGCAGAAAGCAAAATTTGGGTTTAAAAGTGACACAGCAGTCTTGACTTTTACTTTTCGCTTTCTCTCCTCCCTTCTTTTTTCGCTTTTCTTGCCTCATTTTTTTTTTCGCTTGCTGGGCATTTAGTAGGCTTCATTTTGGTGGGAAGAGTTTTTAGGAAAGCTTTTAGGATCTTAGGATTAGGTGAAAGGAAAGGCAGGTGAGCAATGGAACAAGATTTTTATGGAGATTTTCAGGTCAATGTCACGTGGTTTTTTGCTTCTTTCTGCGGTGTCCTTGACTGAATTGTGCTCATTCTGGTATGGTTTGAAAGTTCTCTTCACTCTGCACAAGTTAGCGAAGAAAGTTGTCCTTGAGCGTTAAAACTGATGACGTCACAAAGGGTAGACAGGACCTGGATACGCACGGGCGGTTACGGGCGGTTCAGGGGCGAATGGGTTAAACATCTAAATATAATTTTTCCAGCAACAAAGTACAAGCTAAGTCACATTAACAAACAAAGCCCGAAAATGTCTGTCCCTCTGCTTTTTTGTTGAATCGGTGATAAGAAAATTGATCTAAACAACAAAAAACATTTTGGATAGCATTGTAATACGCTCTTCGATCAACGGTCGAATGTTATCGAATGTTAGATTCACAATTTTTCAGCTTAAAACTGTGTTTTTGCCCTATGTGTAAATTGTTTTGACAGCGAAGGCACGTTGAGCCATGTTCGATTAAATATATGGTTTTGTTTCGGGTTATTAAAAAGAAGGTGATTAAATATTAAAGAATTTGTACCGAGTTGCACGGAACATGCAGTAAACAAAAAGGGCAAAAATTACCCACCTTTTCGGCATGCCTTCCACATGCAAACCAGCGATCTCAACGTCAATAACACTGAATCAGACCACGCCAATGCGATTTTTCACCAGTTTCAGGACGCTATATTCTCTAGAGAACACACTTAAGTCAACACTTTGACCAAAATAATTTTTGATCTCTTTCAGAAAGCTTAGAAGATTAATGTATGATTTTGCTTCAGGCAGCTGTTTTTGTGGCAAGACAGTCCGACCATCCGAACTGTTGGAGGCAGCGTGTGATATCGCGCTTGATTCAAGTGATCGGAAGAAACGTTTCATATACATGTAGCACAGAATTTTGCACCTTTCGATCAAAAGGTCAAAAAAAAGAGAAAACTCTCCATTTTATGAAGTATTCTCTCCATTACTTGAATGACGATGAGAACGGCTTGATTTTGGGCGGTCAATTTTGATTTTGCACCATATGTAAAGAGGGGTCGAAATATTAAGACACAGGGCTGGCCTTCTATGTGAAAGTTCCCAAACTACGATTGAAGCAAATCCGCGCTTCCTTCACAAGTAGAAAAAAAATTGCTTCGCGGTTCTTTGTCAACAACAAAATGTCACCCGTATAAAGCTTGGCCCAGAAACCTATCAGCTATTTCTACTACCAGGAATGTAGCGTGTGTGTACGCAAAAATATAGAGAATTTTTTTATTTCCATACACAAGTACAAAGACGTAAGTGATATTGATGGCATTATAACACAGTTTGCCCGTCTGAAGGGTACACATCTCGCCCTTTGCTTGTAACGTCCTTGATGGCGTTACTGTTTTACCCTTTTTTGCCGTAAACAGTCTGTACCTTACCGATAACAGTGGAGATAGATGGGTAAAATAAGCAACTAATTACTGAATTTTCCTTCGTCTTTATTTACTGAAAATGTCCTGCAGAAAACACAGGAGATGGCATTTTCCGGACCCCAAATTTAAAAATTTTCCGGCTGGGGGAGCATGCCCCCAAACACCCGAGGTTTAAGGTCGCCATCGGCGCGCTAACTTTTCTTCCCTTGTGTGCACCTTCTCTCTCCTCCGCAGAGTCCTCTTTGTGTTGTGGGGAGGCTGGGGAGAAAGAAAAAGAGAGCGCGCGGGGAACGATGGGAAGAGGGGAGAGAGAAGAGAGGCCCTCCTCTTCCCATCGTGCCCCTGTCCTTGGTCTGTGTGATAAAAAAGTACTGTTTCACCTCAGATGTTATGTATAAAAAGTATAAAAGGTTGGTTTACACAGCCCCAGATTTGTTGGCAAGAGTCATTTTGCATTTGTTGCATTTCATTCACTTTTTGTTACTTTTAACTTCGTGTAACCACTAGCCTGTACACAGCCGTTGTTTTAATTTTCTTTTCGTTCTTTTCAAAAACATCGGCGAGCGCGAGAAAGAAAAATAAATACTTTCTTCTTCCCCTACCCCCTTGCACTCGTGGTCAATAAATCCCCCGCGGTCAATTATTTGTTAACAAGCGCGTTCGACGGACTTTGAAGAAAAAAATAGAGGGTCTGTGAACAGGCTATGTAACCACTGATATTGTAAGTTCCAATCCTCTCTCGTCCAGTTTCTTAGAATTCAACCCAGAATGCAGATGAGAAGAGAGAACATTTCAGGACCGCACTTTTCAGGGCAACAAAAATCATGGCGGAGAGCTTGTGTTTTGATCCTGTTACCGGACGAATGTTCGTAACGACCGTCGGCGACGCTCCAGCACTTGATGAATTTATGAAAGACCCAGATAGATACCCAAACTACGTGCTTACGACGAATTTGGAAACTGGAAAAATGGAGGTTTTATCTAAGGCTGAGGCAAATAGGAAAACCGATCGCGTGGTCCTAAAGAAAATGGCAGCTTCAGGTTACTTTCAACTATTTCAACAGCTTTAGAGCACACTTTTTAACAAAACAGCTGTATGACAATGAGCAAACTGGACTTCCAACTGCTGATGAAAGAGAGAATTCGACTGCGGAGCCGTAAACAAACTTTCTTGGAAGTAAACAAGAACACATCTAGCTCGACTGATTCATTTCGCATTATGAAACAATAAACTTTACAGACGACGGAAGCTAGCTACTGCAGGGTATATTACAATTAATGTGTTCTTTCCCTGCGAGTATAACTTTGAGTAAACTTTGAAGCTCATTTTTGCTGCTGGTTTGGTGCCACTGCCGTCTTTTGTAAAGGACGTTGCGTGGATTTATTTGTGATTATAATTTAGCCTCGGCATCGAGGACATTTTTTTCTTTTGATTGCGAAGTGAGTGCAAATGCTGAATAGCACGCATAATTTGTAAAAACACTAAAAATCATCAGAGACAACCACTAGTCTTTTTTTATTTATGCATGCAGTACCTTAGCTATATATTCTACCTATTTTGACTCTGTAGACTATTTTTGAACCGACTAAAAGAGACGTCAATATCTAGAAGTTAAGAAATACTGAATATTAATATTTAGCAAACTTCTTAACGGAAATTTAACGCAAATTTTTTAAATTTCTTTTTCCCTTCAAAACGTCTTTTTATGTTTATTTTCAAGGTGAGTAGCATTCTATCGTATCATGCTGGGTTTTCGCTTTTATATAATGTATTATTTCAAATCAAACACCTTGTGCCTATTAGCCGGAGCACTCTTTATCTCTAGGAGAAGCTTTTAATAATCTTTCTCAGAAATGTTATTCGCTTCAGTAACTTAAACTTGTAACCTTGAAGGGAAAATAAACTGTGCGGGTGATGACGCAGATACATATTCATGTTCCTATCTTTCCAAGAAAATCAGGGTAAGCTTCCGTTTCTTAAAAAAAAGATCAAAAATAAGATTTAAGCTGTCGACTACACATATTCTTTCGATTTTTTAGAACTCTATCGACAGCCTCTTGGTACGTGATGCCTATATTATGGCCTTTTCAAGGGGAAAAAGATTTAATTTGCCTTTATTTTATTTCTTTTTATTTTTTTGTTTCTTTGAGGGTCTGAAAGTTAATTTGTTACCAAGAAATAGCGTAAACATTGTAAGGAAGCTACTTATTGGCTGAGGGTCTTTTCTCGGAAATGTATTACAACATATTTTGTAACGTTTAGGTGTTGTTTGGCCTGAAGACTTAACTGAGGAGGTCGACGGTTGACAATGAGCTGGAGTTCACTGCAACGGACAAGACTCGCTGCCGAGAAAGATACTCTTGATAGCAAATTGAAGAACGTGTCCTGGTTTAATCCTACCTCGGCAGGAAACACAAGGGTCGAATGGCGAATCAAAACCAACAATGGAAAGAGCTAAACTCTCCGCATTTATATACCGCGTAATTTCCCAAATGAATGTCCGATACTGGTAGTATGCTCTCCTTCGACTATTAAGAGAAAGGATGGGAAGCCTCTTATTGTTGCTAACGGAAAAGATCACGTCTATGGAACTCATGAAGGCTTCACAGAAATTTGTCACTTTATTAAAGAAAAGTGGTCTAACGACAACTCCCTCTACCAGGTATTAATGAAAGGTCGCATCTGGCTGGAAGCTTATGAGATCCACTTGCGCACTGGTGAGGATCTTGAAAAGTATTTGGCTCACATGTCTGTGTAGCTGTGGGAAATTGTGACTCAGATTATCGATGGAACACTGGGGACACATTTTTGACGAATATTTCTGCGCATGAGTTACATTTTAATTGTTTTTTCTTTATCTTTATATCCTCATCTTCTCAGTTTAGTTCAGTACAACATCGTTTCAGTCTTCTTCTCTGACCTGAGCAAAGAGGTGCTTTCAATTACAATAATAATTGTAGACTAGTGTTCTGGGAGCGAAACAAGAGGTTTCGATGGCCACGTGGATTTCATCTTTAAAATGGAACATTAGAAATTTGCTTTATTGAGTTTTACAATTTGGAAACTGATGTTTATCTTAAATTTAGTAATTGAGTTGGGCAAATTCATTCTATATTTTAACCTCTGGGTCCACTTTCGACGTAGTCAACATCGAAAATGTATTAATGTTTTATTGAACTCGAAACTGTAATGAACCTTGAACACAGGAGTGGACGAGTACCTACTCCCTTCACACTATGAATTTGAATTTTTGCCACATTAATCATTAAAATTAAACTTAAAATTAAACGATATATGTGTAATGATGAGTGAAACAAATTTGTTCTCGGAAGGACCCTTTCAGTGTTTTTGTTTGTACGTAGTCTACCCTTTTTCTAAGAACTCATGCTTTGCTATGTATTAAAAAAATCGAATTCGTGAAAATAATTGCATTTGCAGGCTCAAATAGTCATATATAGCAACACTTCAAAGAATTAAAGGAGTCTTTGATTATATGTGCAATATGGGTCCATTACGATTGTACAATTTAATTCATTAAATAGAGGAGACAGACGGTCTGTAAAATCTGTTCGCAATGGAGAGAAGTCCTTACGTCACTTTTCCATGGTAGCAAATTTTTTGGACGACAAGAAACCGAAACTCACTTAAAAAGAGAATTCGCACTGTTTCAAACTTCATCGATCTTATTCAATTTCATTTAGTGACTCCTCCTTAATACAATAATCAATTACGATCAAGTGTTTTGTTGTAAGCATATGGAATGTAAATTGATACATAAAAACAATTTTGATTGTCTCCTGATATCAATGACGCCGAGGCCTTGTGATTTGGGGCTGTATTTTGATTGGCTACTCGAGGTTAGGTTACTCGCGTGGTATAGGTCTGATAGGTCACTGATAGGTGGCGAGGGTAACTGCCGCTAAACTGCCAGCTGCTGTTAACAAGCTGATTACTTCGGTGTGCTGGATTTTGACATCCGAGTGATTTTTTTGTTGTCGACAATCAGCTCAGGGAATCAGCAGGACCGTGAACCGACCCGTGACTTCGTCTTGGTCAATATACCGAATATACAGCACAGCTGCCAGCTGAATATATTACCCCCAATCCAGCCCCAGAAAGCCTGTATGTAACGCAGATAACGGGTCTGTATCACCCACTCATCACCCTGCACATTACGGTCACCGAACAACCAAAAATTAAAGTTGCCAGCAGTAGTTTGTCCTCGCTCCTCGCCACCATCCCCCTCCCCACACACCCCCCAGGTGGCGATGAGCGAGCAAAGAAAAAAAACAGTGAAATTTGCAGACAAAAGCGCCCGATTTCAAGTGACTTTGCGACTTTCAACGGATAAAAGATGTGTCAATTGACATTGACGTTTACAGTCTTTACACTGAAATAATTTTAAGCCATCTACAGATACATGCGATGCCAAGAACAGTGCTACAATAGCGTTGTCTAGGTTATCCCACCGATCCCTCCATCCGTAGTCCTGCTGCGATACTGTCCTGAGTGTCCATCGACCGATACACAGGACTGACAGACGCTATTCACGCGATGCGCGCTGATATAGCGTACGCGTAACCGGTAAGCCTGGTACCCTCAGGAAAAATCAGTTGTGTGAAATTTTCGCTAATGAGACTGCCGGGTTTAAAAATTTTGCTCTATTCTTAGTTTACGAAAGCTACGAAATTTCTAGGTGCCAAAATCAGAATCTAGAGATTACTACGAAAGCTACGAAATTTCTCGGTGATCTAGAGATTACTACAAAATCCGAAATTCTTAGGTAAACAAACCACACAAATCCCGAAACTCTGAGCCCAACGAACAGTCACCACGAAACATTTTCGAAATTTTTAGCTGTTCTTGGGCTTCCGAAAATTTTAGCCATTCTAGAGGGCTCCGAACAGATATTTCCCCGAAAACGGTCGTTGGGTGCCCCTGGGCCTTGAGAAGTCACAACCTCACAGATATGTTTTGCGTACACTATGTACAGATTACGATCCCAGTTGTTTTGCATCCCCAGTCAGGAACATCCTAAATACACTTCAATTGCTGTTCTGATTTATAGAGAATGCGTGACGTCTGGTAATGTTATGTTACCCACTTTTTCACGCTTGCGCTGTTTATGCAAAGTTTAATCCACTCGAAGCAGACTTGTCAGAGGATATAAATCGATATATCGAAGTCACAGAAGGAAATGGACGACCAACCATTGCTGCTTGAAGGACCAGATGCCCAGGACCGAGATCCTGGAAATCACAACGACTTCCTTAAGGTAATATTTTAATCTCTGAAAGGTATTCTATTTTCAATTAGAATTGCCAAGTGATTAGGGACACGAAAATAAATATAGCCTGTCTGACTCGCAGCCACTCAGGGACACGGTCTAACGCTAAATGCTCCGCAGAAAGCAAGTTTCTGGATGAATACCTTCTTGGATTCGAATATTGTGAAAAGATTGCAAACGTATTCTTCTTTTATCATGAGAAACTTAATTTTGTGATCTTGAGCATAGCGTGCTGAACAGTCACGGTCTTGGAGGAGGTGGGTGGGGGGGGGGGGGGGGGGGGGGGGGGGGGAGATTAGTATAGTAAAAAAAGATATAGAGAAAACAGACTTGTATGTTGATGTTGAATGAGAGTATTATGTGTGTGTGATTAGGGTGGAAGGGTGGGCGAGGGGGGGGGGGAGGGGGGGGTGGGGGGGGGGGGGGGGGGAGGGGAATGGACGAGGAAAACAGGAACGGCAAACCTTGTGTGACAAGCGTGACAATAATTTGTTTCATTTAACTTTCCGCCAAACTTCCACTTTCCTGTAAACAGATATTTCTAAAAGACCAGAGGAGACTAATGGTAAATGAAGATCAAGACAAAACTTGAAAGTAATAGCCCTGTCACGTTTGTCACACACAAGCTTCTTCCTGCCGTCCTGTTGCGTAAACGATCCTCCAATTTCGCAGCATTTCTAGGAATCATCTTGACAGCGTCCTATCCACGCTGGATGACGAAGTCAGCCAGGGTCATAAATTCGGTAGCGCATTCCGTTCGTATTTTTCTTGGGAGTCAAAAAATGTCTTGTTTTTCTAACTTTCCCGTGTTTCGTGCCCGGCCCGAAAAGTTGTGTGATTTTTATTGGCAGCAACTTCGAATCACGTGCAAGTCAGGTTGGATTGCACAAGCAGAAAAAAGATACTGCGTCAGCAAAGAAGGAAAAAGTAAGCTTACTTCATAGAGGAGGACAAAGTCACGAATATGCTCTAACTTACGGCCCCCGGTCGGCGACTAAGACTTAAAATATTGCCTAGGTCACCCAGCCTGGCGACATGCCGGTGTTGGTTTCTTGATTTAAAGTCAAAAAGCTAGAATTTGTTATTTGCGACTTCGTAGCTCGCTCGGTCGCTTGGCGGCCTAAAAAATAACGTTCCGCTCGCTAAGAAACCCATGAGTCAACTTGTATGTAGCATGTCTATCGAAAAGCTTTTTAAAAGAAAACGTTTTTACATGTAAATGGGGCACCGGGCGCGCGCTGTATTCTCGGTTTTCAGTCACGTGAGAAAGCAGAAATAAAAATGGAAACCTTTTAATACATAAAGTCTAGAATCTGGGAAATGAAAAAACATAAATATACAAAACGCCTTGCCAAGAATCAGGTCTATGGGACAGTTCATATTCGAGAAATTCGGAGAAACGTTTTACCCAAATCTATGAAGCTTTGTATGGAGACGCCATGTTTGTGTCCCAGGTTCCCAGGTTTTAAGGTGCTCTAATATCACATGAAAGTAGAAACTCAGAAGAAGCGATAGTTTCTTAGTTTCAATTTTGGTGACGTCATGTTCCACTTGAATTCACGTGAAACATAATCCTTCATAATCCAAGCTGCAGATTTTCGATTTTAACAGCTTTTCAAAATTTGTTTAGGATGGTTCATTAGTTATTTTTTCAAAAGAAATTGCTACTTCTGCTCTGACAGGCGTAAAGTACGGTGGGCGACGCGAAACAAACGTTTTGTATTTTAAAAAATCTCTGAATAAACACTTGAGTCGCCTCAGTTTCATGATAATTAAATATTTTTACTTGTTTTTGCTGCTGTGTCTGCGAGACTAAAACATAACTTTTTATTCCCGTAAAATACGATGTATAAAAAATACGAGTATTATTGTGATTGTTTTAGAAGGTATGTAAATCTATAAAGTCCCGCATTGTCTTTAATGTCGTAAAAGTTATTCCGTATCACGTACTAAGAACAAATACGCAAAAGCTAACTGGCTACAGAATCCACTAAAAGCTCATTTGTCCTGAACATTTCACCTAAATTATAAAACGACGAATTTCCAACAAGATGATCTATTCAAAAGAGATAATAGTTCTGGGGCGGCCGCGGTTTCGTTAAAATTCACAGCAGCTTTCCGGAAAAGCTCCACGGGATCTCAGTCATTTATCTTAAGCGGATTTTCTTTTCAACCTAAATGATTAGTAAAAAGATTATTTATAATGTCCTTATTTTTGACCCAAACATTTTTATGAAAATTACATAAACAGACCACAATCTATATTCTTACTTACTGTCGAAAACAAAGCAAACAATTATATTATATATTTTTATGTTTGTGTTTTATACTTTTGTTTACTTCTTCATCGCCTTGCCGTAAGCATCAGTTTGCCGTATCGTATTTTCGGACAAGTTTAATTGTACTGATCCAGGTCTACAACTGGGAGATCCGGCACCACTCATTGGTTTGTTGCTGTGGAGTTGCTGACATTTTATTTACTTACTTTCCCCTGTGTCCTTTCTGTCCCTTGTGTCCCCTTAGTCCCCTGTGTCCCTTGTGTCCCTTGTGTCCCCTGAGTTCCCTGTGTCCCCTTTGTCCCCTGTGTCCCTTGTGTCCCCTTTGTCCCCTTTGTCCCCTTTGTCCCCTTTGTCCCTTGTGTCCCCTTTGTCCCTTATGTCCTTTGTGTCCCCGTTGTGCCCTTTGTTCCCTGTGTACCCTTGTGTCCGTTGTGTCCCCTTGTGTCCCTTTTGTCCCCTGTTACCCTTGCGTCCCCAGTGTCCCCCGTGTTTCCTGTGTTCCCTCTGTTCCTAGTGTCCCCTGTTACCCTTGTGTCCCCATTGTCCCTTGTGTCCCCTGTGTCCCTTGTGCCCCTTGTGTCCCCGTTGTCCCCTATGTCCCCCGTGTCCCCTGTGTCCCCTGTGTCCCCTGTGTTCCCTGTGTCCTTTTGTGTCCCCTGTGTCCCTTGTGTGTCCGCATGCTCAGGAGGTTAAAGGATTTTTTTTTTTAAGAAATTAAAAAATCTAAAAAACCAAGTTTTGCTAGAAAATAATTTGTTTTATTTTTACTAATCAACTAACACCTCACTGATTTATCAATCTGGGTGACCAACTTGGAGGCCCGGGCACCCCAGCTAAAATGTCTGTAATCCCGAAGGGCTCCCTGAAAATTTTCCTTAGAGCACAGCCTTGCGCCCTGTTATTGGAAGTCTGATACATTACATGCTATCGTTGAATGTGGAAGTGCATTTATTGAGGATATTAGTATGCCCTAATGCAAATTTTAGCGAACTTCCCTATACTCATATATGGTAGTAATATTGATGTAAGTTTTGCTTTGAGGAGCAAAGGAACCCTTGTGTGTAACTCATCTTCTAGTGTATTTAACAGAACATCTCCGTCTGTCCTGCACACATTTGTTTTTGATACACTGCTCAACTTTCCAATGCCATTCAACTTAATTCTCACTTACACCACCACATCCCTCTTAAACGCCTTAGGCGTCTTCTTGTTTTTTTTTAGCATACCGGTCCATACCCAGGGACTGTCGTTGACCCACTGTCACTGACCACTCGTTAGTGGTCTTACATTATCTTGTTACATAGGTGGTGCTGTATAAGGTGCTGGGTGAAAGGGCGGGTGGGGTATTTCTTCACTGTAGTACCTCCGCATGAAGGTTCTGTTATATAATAAAAGTCCATATTGTCACTGATATCAATACACGAGAAAAAGACGCAAACAAGAGGATAGCCTGGAGCAAGCTCTCCGGGGCGCTGTGGCGGCGGGGCGGGAGAAGGAAGGAGAGCTTGCAACTACTTTTCTGGGATTTGAATTCCACCTCCAACTCCCCTGTGGTTTCCGGTCGACTGAGCTGTCAGATTTCCGGCAATCAGCGCGAAGAGGAAACGAGCGTAAATGTAACCAAATATTGAAAAACACGTGCCAAGGGTAATGACGTCATTACAAATGTCATCTCCGCCAGCCAGCATTTCGCATCGACTATTTCATTGCAGATATTCAAATTCCAGAGACGTAGTTGCAAGCTCTCCTTCCTTTTCCCGCCTCGCCCCAGAGAGCTTGCTCGCAGGCTAACAAGAGGAAAGTTAAAATTCTGAACCCTACACCAGAAACAATGATGAATTAAATACCACATAAACGATTACGTCAAATCCTGGTTATAAGCCCTGAGCTTTTGCACTTATGCAATTTCGGGTAAGCTGTCACGTTGTGGGGGGCTTATGATGGGGAGTAGAACTTGAGATAAAAAAAAAATAACAGTAATAATAATAATAATAATAATAATAATAATAATAATAATAATAATAATAATAATAATAAGTAATGGTAACTGGACTGAGTGGAGTCCAATTCGGTCTGTAATCATACGAGTGATTAACAAACTCGGACGACCGCGTAGCGGGAGTCCAATTTGTTTAATCACGAGTATGATTACGGACCGAATTGGACGACACGAAGTTCTGTTACCAATTAATCATAACTTTAACAAAATTTGTGATATAATAGGCTATTTTTTAAATCAAAACACAAGAAATTGGAAATTTTGTTTTGCTAGCAGTGAGAAAAAAAGCCATTTAAGCGCGCGCGTGATGGCGCGTACTGTCCAATTACTTAAACATGACGCGTACTGTCCTATCAAACTGTCCAATTAAGGCTGAAATCAGGGCAGTTAATAGCCAATCAGATTTGAGAATTTTGTTATAATTATGATTATAGTAATAATAATAATAATAATAATAATAGTAATGAAGATAATAATAATAGAATAAAAACAAACAAACAAACACATACACACACAAACAAAAACAATAAAAAAGCAACAAGAACGTTCGAAATAAGCTGATAATGAAACTTTCAGTACAAGAAAAATTCAAACCTCTCACTTAAGATATAAGAAAGATTAACCTCGTTCCCAGGGTCATCTTCTACTACTCCCCTCCTCTCCTAGGTTGTAAGAAAGATATGAATGCATATCATGGATAGGCCTATGTGGAGACGAAAGTTATAACCAAGAGGAGAGGGGTGGGGTTGCCTCAAACAGGTCTTCAATAATCACTTCACATCGTTTTTCTCTCGTAGGTCAGTTACACAGATGTCATTTGCGAGCCGCCGTCTGTTCGCAGTCCAGAGTGTTCGTACCAGTTCACCAAAAAGATTTTTGACTACTCCTCGTCCGTAACCTATGATATTCTGACGCTTACACTGGGTGGTTTATTGTCCCTCGCCTATGGTCTGTTTTTTGGACTTATGAGCTTTGTGTTTGTTTGGCTTGTTACACCTTTCACCCGCATGTGGCTCCTTCCCTTGGGATTGTTTGCGAAAATTTGGTGGTACATTGTGAAGTGCTTTTACGATCCACTGTACCTGTCCTGTGGAAGGATTTTCTCCAACATAAATATCAACTTTCGCACAGCTGCAATTCAAAACGTGTAATTGTTGGCCTTTTTACAGGGCGAGTTTAATTCAAACTCAGTACACGACTTTATAATAGTCTATAGAAAACGTTTTTATTATATCCAGCCTTTACTAGGATTTATCGTTTGTAACTGATTTGTTAGTTGTAAGAAAGACCTTGTTTGTTCCCAGATCAAAAAATACTGAAAATGATTTCCATTTTACTTAATTCATTAACTTTGGTATTTTTATGCAAAGTTTTAGCGAGACAAGATTATGTCGAATGATTAAACCCAGCAAGATATATTTGTCCATGTTAACTTGAACCTAAGTTGGTTAATAATCCTATGCATATCTTACAGACGTCATACTTAGCAAAACAAAAGGTTTACAAAACAAGTATTATTTTTACCAAAAGGTTTAAAAGTGTCAATGAAAGTCTCAAAAAGTGTTAGACCAATGTATTAATCAACCTAGCTATTCTGAACTTCATATTTTAAGAAAGACTCAGATCAACTGCTAAAGAGTGGTTTTATTTCATTTCATCAATTATTTATTTTTGTTTACCAACACACTTGTTTTCGTTTATTAATTTCAAGCTCTCCGAGGTTTTCTTCGCGTGGTGTAATGACAGGTATAATAACTTTCGTGACCTTATCATGAGCGGTTTTTACGTTACAGGGCGGAGTGCAGGAAGCAAGAAAGCTCGGGTTGAATAGGGTTTGAATAAGGTGCTTTGTTGCTAATGTGGCGTACCCCTTCTAATTGACTATAATTTGGAAACCACTCAATCACTTTACAGTAAGATTTGTCATTGTTGAAACTAATCATCCTTTTATAGTATATTTACGTTTCATGGTCATTGGAAACTTGTGAAGTTTCCAGTCCGGCCTGTCACTCTATAGGTTGCAATTGGCAAGGTGTGGCATGTAATACCGCGGTATGGCATAATATCGTAGGGCAAGATGTTGTGTAATTTGATTGTTTCTTGTACTTCATTGTAGCGTCATAGAAATATAGCTTTTTTGCGTAGTGTTTTAGACACCAACACTGAACGATGCAAAACACCAATTGACCCATACCACGCAAAAACATCAATGCTCGTCTGCCCGCTGTTATTGCTCTCGCCACAGATGTGTAACTAACTCCCAAGAAAGGTTTCCATCGATGTGAATACCTAGGGATTTTGAAGTCGACACTTGTTTAATCGGAAACTGGTTAGTTTCAATTATGGGATTCCTTTCTAGTGTTGACAGTCTTTGCTATAGACCCAATTAATAAAAATTCTGTCTTAGTCTTGTTTAGTGTAAGTGTGTTCGCTGCAAGCCATATACGAATTCTATCTAAATCTATGTTAACGCAACGCTCTATTTCTTCAACATCATTGCTCGCACAGGTGATACTAGTGTCGTCAGCATACATTCTAGGTTGTGAATACATGAGGCAATTCGGAAGGTCATTTATATATAGTAAAAACAAAAGAAGTCCCAAAATCGTTCCCTGCGGGACACCACAGGGTAGGTACGTTTCAGATGACTTGTTGCAATTAACGAGACACGTTTGCATACGATTTCTCAAATAAGAACAGAACCATTCATTAGCAGAATCAGGGATACCATATGCTTGAAGTTTTGAAAGAAGAATAGCATGGTTTACCATGTCGAAAGCCTTTTAAAGGTCTAAGAAGACAACTGCATTGACAAAGCCGCTGTCGACGTTCAAAGACCAGCTATCTGTGGCTTCCATCAATGCAGTAACTGTGGAGTGGAGTGTGCGAAAACCAGATTGGTAACAACAGAGAAGTTTGTTTTCGGTTAGATAACGATACAGCTGATCATAAATAATCCGCTCAAAAACTTTAGCCACCACAGGAATGATCGAGATCGGCCAGTAATTTGAGGGATCGCTTCTATTGCCACATTTCTTGTAGAGAGGAGTGATCCTAGCGCTCTTCCATTCATCGGCAAAAATACTTGTTTCAATCGATCAATTGAAAATGAGTGCTAGAGAGTCGGAAATTAGATCGAAGCATTCTCTCAGAAGTCTGGCGGAAAAACTGTATCAAGTCCAGTGGCTTTCCTCATGCATAATTTACGTAAGTGAGACGAAACCAGAGATGGACTTATTTGTGGAAAACTAAAGTTGTCCGAGATAGATTGATTTACACATTCATCGAAACAAGTATCAATGTCTTCAATATTCTCGGACAGCTTGGGACCGATTTCGGCAAAGAATTTATTAAAACCTTCCGCAATTTCAGTCGGATCAGTTAATTTCTTGTCCTCAAATTCGAGTTCATTTATAATCGCTTTTTCAGATTTGCGACCCGTCACCTCATTAATGATCTCCCAGGTCTTACGTGAGTTGCCGTCACAAGCTGTAAAAGATTTCAAATAATAGGACTTTTTAGCATTCTTAATTGCATTGTTCACGTTGTTACGTGCCCTCTTAAAATTATTCCAGTCGATAGCGTCACCAGACCGTATGGCCTTTATTTAAAGTCGATCTCTTAAATGTATCATTTTCTTAAACTCCGTAGTTATCCACGGACTGTTGGAACCACGAACGCGCTTAGATCGGAGAGGAGCGTGTACATCAGATACCTCTAGGAACAAAGTTTTCCATTTTAACCACATTTCGTTAGGGTTATGTACTCTCTTGAGATCATCCCATGGTTGGGCTAAAATGTCAGAGCGAAAGCTATTACGATTGAAATTCTTAAATTGTCTATATGTAATAGTGCTAGTTTCCTTGATAACAGAAGGTGACGAAATCTTGCGGTAGACGTAGATCAAACTGTGATCGCTAATTCCAAT